TCATCATATGCCACTAACCCACAGGGAATTGCAAACCAATCGGTCCTGCCCTGCCCGCGTCCAGCGGCTTTCTGCGACCTTCACCTGGGCCTTTTTTCCAACCAAGTCGACATATATCACTGACAAAATATGTAAGCAGACAGTTTGTTGTGGGGGTAATTTTTATGGCATATGTTAGTGACATGTGTCGACTTGGTGAAATGGGGCGCAGATCGTCGGTCCACCTCCTAACGCGGGCGCCAATCGAGGACCACAAAACAAGTTACAATTAAATATTAAAAAAACAAAGCAATTACAATATTATCTATAAAACCAAACTGTCATGACGTGTTAAAATTTAATGGGCTGAAATTTACAGAAAAAATATTAACAAATGAACTGAACTTTTTCTTAATGAAGTTTTAATCTTACGATTTCTTTCCTATATTCAAGAAGCCGACTACAAAAAATATCCAAGGAAGAATGATCCTTATGCAGATTAACGTATAGACGACACATATTTGTGATAGTATTATAAAAGGACGATTTTGTTTTTATAAACTTGCAAAGTACCCTATGGGTAGGAATACATGATGTAAACCTACTTTTGAAAATAAGCGTCAAGTCGAGGAGTGAGTGTTACACCGGGCTGAAAGACTGTAATTTGTAAATTAAGGGGTGCTTGTGCACATAATAGGGTATTTGACAGTATTAAAAATAAAGTGCCAATTGTTAGCATCTGTGTTTAGATTGAAATTTGGCAGAGGTTTTTACTATTTTTATAAAAAAATATTCATAATAAAAAACAAAAAACTAAATAAAAAGATAATAGTTTTCCTATCTATTGTCACGTGACCCAAAACGCTATGGATTGGCGGAGCCTAAAATGACGTCACAAGCAAGTAAACTTCCGGTTAAAGTGACATTACATTGTATCGTTCGACGTTTTAATAACAGTCGTGTGACGTCACACACTAGTAAGATGCCATATTGTCTAGAGAAACGTTTGCGCGGCAACTTGAAAATGGAGTTTTTGATTTGGCTGTTTTTATTGAAATACACAACAGAATGATGAATATCTACTTTACACGGACTCCATAAACATTAGTCAATAACGTGAGATCGTTTTCTAAAACTAGTCAAATACCCTATTACTCTAACATTTTTTTATCGTCCATTTTGCAGGTGAACTGTTCACTTCACTAAGATTTGACGTTGACTGCTCGTCGAACGTCAGGAGGTATGATCAAGCTTGAAACATTTCATACAAAAAGCATACCATAATGTGAGGTCACCGGTCGCGACACGGTGTAGCGTGAATCATCCTTTAAGGCTCGCATTTCAAATTATTTCCAATTCGATCACTCAGAGACACCCTGAGCATAGCCCTCTCCATTGCCCTTTGGGTAGGGTTACCATCCGTCCGGATTTGTTCGGACATGTCCGGATTTTTTACGAAATTTCAGGACTTTTGGAATTCCTAAATGGTAACCCTACCTTTGGGTGACTTTGGGGCTTCTTACGATTGTGAGCGGCCGTATTTAATACTTAAATTTCACCAATGAGCTATGATTTGATTTACATCAAAGAAGTTTTTTTTAAATTCATAATAGGTGTGGGGCCAATATTAGCATAGGTAGCTAGTAATTGAAAGACTATGTAAATATTGCCACTACGACAATAATTAAAAATGGTCGTATAAAGTCAAGCTCTTTGTTTTTCCGAGGAGAATTGTGATTTATATCTTGAATAGCATAAATGTATATTCTACATTTTATTCAGGAAATATAAAATATATGCATAATTGAATTCCCTGTTTTATATAGCTATCACGTAACTACGCTATTACGTCATGTCAAAATAAATTTACAAAAAAATCACATAAATTACAAAACACCCTCACAGCCTAACTGCCGTGAGTAAAATAATAATTTATAAAATAAGTTTAACTATTAACTTTACATACAAAATTGCACACAATTCCTAAATAATAAGTAGGACATCCGTTAAAAATACACAATACACAAATTGGGAACCTATACAGAAAATATTATTTTTAGATTAAACACGCATAAATATCCTTCTATATTATTAAAATAGACTAGTAAATGAATGCCAGGGCTATGTAGGTCGATAAACGATTTTATAGTTTAGAATTTGGAAAGACATTCAATTTTTATAGGTACTTACTTAATAAAGGTGAGCTTATAACTCTAACGCATTCCTGACAGATATTTTTGATAAACGATCATCTTAAGGAACTCCGTGGATCGTCCAATGTACCTTTTGGGCAGGTTTCCGACACTTTTTTGTTCGTGTTGTTGTATCTAGGCAATTAAATATAGTTAGTTTCAATTATCAAACTCCAGCAAAAACTAAACTTTTTTTGGTTCAGTTTCTTAGCAACAGTTTTTACTTACTAAGCTTCAATAGACCTATCTCTTACTGGAAATTGATTATTGTAAAAGGGTGTTTTTAAACATTTACGTCACCAGTTAGCGCCACTGTGACATGTTGTCTTTTGTATGAAGATTTTGTCGCGAATTAATCGGACCAGCATACATATTGATCCATAGACTATGATAGATACGCAGTTTGAGGATGAATTTACCTTTCGTCTCAGTGTTGCCACCTGGCATTCATTTTTCATTCCAGAAACTCTCATTAGCTGTAACCCCTCGTTTCCACCAAGAAACAAGTCATACACTAGTTTTAAACAAAACTTGTAGTATACTAGTTGTGGCTGTTCAAAACTTTCTTTCGTTTACACTGCATCGACATTCGATTTCATAAAATTTACAAGAATGAAGTGACGTTTTACATTGGATTTAACTGAATTTTTTATACGAGTATCGGTGCAAGCGATTTTTGATCTTAATTATTAAATTATAAGATACACTTTAATACTATTACTATTAAAAAGTAGTTATTACAAGAAACGTTCTAATAAGACACATGACTATATTCATCACAATACATTACCTTATAAGACTACGAATACTTATCAATTGAATTATCAAATCCCTATGCCAATGAATAAATAAGTCGTTAAAATATATTTCGACACCTAAACTATAATAGCTTCTATTACTTAATATTTATTGGTCGCGGCAAACTTCTTGGGCCGCAGACAAATAAACTTGCGCAGTACACTTTCTTGTATGTAAAAAATCTACTGCGCAGGTTTCCTTGTTGCTCAAGAAGTGTACCCGGCATGTATACAAAATTCGATACATTTTTATGCTACCGTCTTATTTTATATCTAATTGGCAATTAGATCATTGCGTTAAATAAATAAATCTTTCTAACACTCACAACAATTAGCCTAGCCTCAAAGTAAGCACTGTAAGGTTTGTGTTATGAGAAACTAGGGTTACAGATGCACTATCTACTATACTACATAATCCTTATAGATTAATAAATAATTAATTAACCCTTTCGATTGTAATCATAAAATGCGTCAGTTTTTTTTTCAAATTTCACGAGTTTGATTCCCAGTTGTGGCAGGCGATTTTAAACATTAAAAGATCCATCAGATTTGTTTAAAAGATTTTAAACAAATACGTGGATGGAGTTTTACTTATTATTAAAAATAAAATGATGTCTTCTTTCAGTAAAATACCCTATCTTCAATATTTAATATACTTTCCCACCGTATGACAAACCCGTGGGACGTAATGTGTATCTTTTAGTGTTGTAAATAAATTTTTATGTTGAATCGCACCTTAAAATCATTTTTTATTAACAAGAATCTAGTTGTTAAAGTAAATTAAAATATACGTTTAAATTAATGTGGGAAATTTTAATGAAATAAATAACATTTGAAAATTGATCTTGTACTCTTCTATGTCTGTGTGACTCAGGTACACTGGATTTTTTTATATTATTGCATTCTTTCTTGAACCATTTCGTTGTAAAGTAACTGATTTTTAAAATAATAGGTTGGCGAAAAAGTTTTTTCGCATTATAGTATCAATGAAGTAGTATGAACTTGTAATAAAATCTTTGGCTGATAATTGCCGACTAATTGTATCTGACTGGTTCTGGTATCATTAAAAAGTTTAAATTTTAAAGAAGATAATTCCAAATTCATATAAGATAAATGTGTGACTTTCACGTGTTTTTCTTACTGCCAAGATGAGTGAATCTAATGAAGAAATTCAATGGGATCATGTACCTACCTACAAGATGGCATAAAGTTACCGAACAAAATGGCACCTATAAATGCAAATGAACTTTATTAAAAAATGTTTTGAATTTTCATATGAAATGCGAAGAAACTTTTTCCCTAACCTAATATTTAATATCTGTTTAAAACGTCATTGGAGTGTGTGAAAATTGTGATAACGGACGATTGTATATTTTACCCTATTGAAATTATGTTTTTTTATTTTAGCCAAACAAAAAAATAACATTTTATCTCGATATCTTAATCATCAAAATTTATTCAGCACTTTTGACCTGAAGGCGTGACAGACAGAATTATTTCGCATTTTATAAATTAATGTTATAACGATAATTGCCGAGTAATTGTTACCGTAAAAAACCAGGGGGACTAAAAAGTCGTGATTGCATTTTTAATTATTATATTGTTCATAATATCAATAATATGTTGATTTTTTGCAAATCTTGTCATGATAATTATTATCATGAAACATCAAATGAACACAAAATGAAATGAAACGTCTAATGGAAGTTAACAGATTTGTATGAGAATGCAAAAATGATCACTTCGATAGATGAAACGTCAAAATGATAAAAAAGTGAATTATATTTTAGATGTTTTATCTAAAGCAGCTATTTTAGACCCCATGATTAGATGAAAATTTTGCTTTTTTTATTATTTTTCAGTATCATTGCAAGCACTTCCAAAAGCTAAACATATGGTACTGTATATTGTTTAACAACCTTTCCAAACTACCTATATTTCATGCAAATAAACTTTCAATTCAAAGCAAAAAAATTTGGTTGAATTTTCACATGTGATCCCTGGAGTTGGTCTATCTTTTCGCCGGGTCGCATCAATCGGGCATGACCCAGCTCTCGTATACTTGTCGCCAATCAATGTTCTTGAAGTAAGGATGTTGTTTTATCTCCTCGATGCCGTCTTTGCCGGCGCCGAGCCGTTCAGAAGGGTCGTAAGTTAATAACTGTAAACATACAAATATTATTTGTTGATGTGTAACATCTTTCCTCTCGCTTTCCTGCAATTTGTGGGAGTGATTTCGTGAAACGGGACGAAAGTCAGTCAGAAAATAACAGGAAGTCACGAAAGCGCGCTCTATTTGATTTATTTTAGAACATAATGTTCAAATGTCTTATTTCTTTTGTAGTAGGTTTTATTTCTTTTAGTATAAGGTGAGATTTCAAATGTACGCTTTTTATAAATATTATTTTGTTTCTTAGGTTTTAGGCACATCACTCATTAAATAAAACAAGTTTCAATGTGTAAGGATTGGATTTCATCCAAATTATTAGAGGGCTAATATAAGAAATAAATAAAGTAAAAAATCAAATCCTATATAAAAATGTTAAATCGTCATGTCAGTATTATTAATTAGGTAAGTACTAATTAGAATAATATTTTTGATGTCATTATTTTTTACTATTCATTAGTCATTACCTATTTCAACAATAATAATAACAGCTTATAAATACCTAATTAAAAACAATATATAAAAAAACTACATACTTGATTGAATAATAAATACAAAATTACAAATGTCAACAAAAAAGAAATGTATCGCCTGCCTAGGGAAGTAACCTCCACCTTACAGAGCACTGGGCCCGCGTGGTGGGTCATGGCCCAATCTCCCTATTCCATCTATAGGAAAGGCCTGTGCCCCAGCAGTGGGGACATTAATAGGCTGATGATGATGAAGGTACATACATTTATGAAATGACATTAATGTTTAAAGCTGATTTCAAGGCAATTGGATTCAAGAATAAGGCCCCAGTTGGAGCTCTCACTTTCTGTGTGATAATATAATAATAATAAACTAAAATATAATAATAAACAGAAAAAGACACTCGTGACTTAAATAATGAAAAGTTTTTGAAGTAAGATGGTCTAAAACCACTGTCTCAATACTGCCATTAAATAAAAAATACATTGTATGGATTTTAATTTGAAAATGCAATTCACCTGAGTGAGTAGAGATTCCGCTTCGACGGGCAACCCTTCGGGCAGATGCAGGATAGTGTGGGAGGTGAAAACGCTTCTGTGGTAATAAGAGAGGGGCTGGAACAAAATAAATTGATATAGAGATAAATAGACTAATCATTTATTCCTATCATGTACAGCACACAAATTCAAGTAAATAAATAGAAGAATTAATTACTAAATATGTAACTGTGTCTCGCAACAACAGAAAACGGTAAAAACTCAGCGATACCTTTGCTCTGAGAGCAAAGCACTGGTTTTCAATGATTAAAACAAATAGATTTTTAATTTAAATATTATTGTTATCATAATTTTATGTTTATTATTATTCTTCACCATGTTTCATTGTTATTACTACTTTTTTATATATAGCATTTAGTCACAAATTGTGACACACCTATTAAAAACAAGGTAAATTTAAAAAAAAACTAATAACCCAACTTAAATATTATTTAAAATAAAAACTGAAAAGAAAAAAACAAGTCCAGTAGTCTATAATTCTGTTAAGTAAGGAAAAAAGCTACTTTAACAGTCGGGACCATTAGATATTCATGAATGGATCAAACTTTTTAATGATGGGTCCCGACTGTTAAATTACTACTGTCATTTTTTGCCTTTGACCTTGTTTTTTTTTAATACAGGTAGATTCGATGGATGCTTTTAAAATGTTTTTATAAGTAAACCTCTTGTAACGTGTTAAAAACGTTACATGAATCTCCTTCGCTCGAAGAGCGAGATAGAAGATTTTCTTAGGTTGTCTCTCTCTGTTCGTTTTTATCTCGCACCCATTTTCTATAATCTATGCACTTTTGGGTAAGTGTGTTTCCGCCTTAATCAAGCAGTAAGCTGTATGGACGTTGTTCTCTTTGCCTACCCGGAAAGAGAAAACGAACTTAAAAAAAACTAATGTCACTTCACTTTACGACGTACTTTTTCGGCAGCAGTATGCCTCGCCGCTAATCTTATTGAATTACAAAGTAATTCCTACTATTCATATTATTTTTCAATGGTAAGTGTTTTTCCAAATTCAGAAAGTGTTTTTATTCATATATTTCAATAATTTACATGAGGATTGATTTTGTTTTCAGAAATGAGAAACTCGATTGCCGTGCTAATGGCGGCGGACACTGTCCCAAGCTTAATTTGTTTCCTTAGCGAGTTCTTTCGATTTACATTGTTTCATTTGTTGTAAGCCATGTGCTAACCTACGGAATGTTTATTTCAGCCAAAGGCGTTGTTTTTTTGTTTTATTTTTACTTAAATTTTAATTCATGGGAAAATGACAAACCCCGTGATGTAAACAGCAGTGAGATCGGCCATCCTTAAATATTTACAACACCAGACATAACTTCCCAGATGCAGCAAAGTCGGTAATACTCAAATTTATAGTTGTACCAGGATCCATCAAGGTAAATTTTAAGTTTAATTTTTGGTAGAGTCATAGCATTAGTTTCTAAATTTAGCAGTAACCCCTCTTTGAACAGAGTAAATTTCAATATAGTGACAACCCAAAATGAATATGGATTTGCATTAAACCCCCTTTGCGATTAATAGTTCGATGCTTTCCCGGCTAATATGGCATAATAATATGGTATAGGCCTGGCGCCCGAGTATTCTTTTTAATTAATTTCGGCCTATCCATTTAAAGTAATTTTCACAACAATTTATTATTTTTCAATTTTACTATTACACTCTATAAACTTTCAGCTTTATGAGTAGATCTGCAAACCTACCACTATCTATTTTAGACTAGACTAAAGTGAGGTAGGGAAAAGCGGATTTTTCGCTTGAATTGAAGCACCCGTCTGGGGAAGTAAAATCCACCTTACAGAAGACCACAGTGAAATAACACTGCCTATTGGTGGTGTTGTGTTTCTGTCGGTGAGTATGGTTCCAGGACTCCACGGGCTAGGGGGTTGGGTCAGGGTAGGCAACAGACCGAGTGATATTTTAACATTGAAAATGTTTTTTTCTTCGCTTCAGTAGGCCTCCATTTTTCGCTGAAAGTGCGACTCGCCCGTGATACCCCAAGGTTTAGGGCCACGAGGACGTATGAGTGCTCAAAAGACGCGGAATTTGAAGGGCTTTCAGAATCTATAATAGGTATATTCATTTTCAATGCCTTTTTAAGTCGTGTAGAGCACGAGATAGCAAGCGTCTATGGTCTATGGTGGTCGCTTACCATCAAGCGGGTCATAGGTATGCTTGTTTGCCACCATTTCAATAAAAAAAGCGAGTAAGCTTATGACCACACGCCTATAGTAAAACTTCTTTAGCTCCTATGATCTGAAAATCATAAACTTAACCTGAAGATTTATTGATAGAAAAAAAAACCACCAATCCGCGCTGGGTCCGTTATCACCCTCCAATCCGCACTGTTTCCGTTATCACCCACCAATCCGCGCTGGGTCCGTTATCACCCACCAATCCGCACTGGGTCCATTATCACCCACCAATACGCGCTGGGTCCGTTATCACCCACCAATACGCGCAGGGTTGCGTTATCACCCTCCAATCCGCACTGGGTCCATTATTACCCTCCAATCCGCGCCGGGTCCGTTATCACCCACCAATCCGCGCTGGATCCGTTATCACCCACCAATCACTAATATTTTGTAACGGGTATTGTTCATTGTTTACCGATCAGGCACCGATGAAAGTAATCGTAACGGGAAATCGTAACACATTCGCCAAATTACCCCCCAAATCAAGCGTGCCTAAAGAAGTTTCACTTCAACAACAATAGATAGAATAGAAATAGAAAAATACTTTATTTGTTCTCTCACATAGAATTACATAACGGTGAAAAGTAAGGTATAAGCAAATTCACAATTTAGATACCTAACTTATAACTCTATGTAAGGCCGTATACAGAAAGAAAGCCGAAAGCCGATCAGCGCTTATCGGCGCCGATCCTTACTACATAAAGGAAGCCGGTTAAAGCAGAGCAAGCAAAATGTCGGACTCATCGGACGATGATTTGGTTTTGTTAGAAAATGTGTACCGAGTAACTGCGGGTTACTTTGACCTAAAAAGTGCACTTTTTTTTCAAATAAAATTGTAGCTTCTCTTTGTGATGAATATGTCACGTTTATATCTTTCCATTGTGAACTTTAAAGTATAAGTAACAAAGTTATCATACGCAAAAAGGAAAAAATAATATTTAAGGGTTTATATATTTTTTTTTAATTTTGGGCCAAAGTTGGCCTTAAAGAGGGTTACTTTAGCTCGTTGAGTTTTCTCTGTTAAAAAAAACTCATTTTAAGCCATGTTGGGAGTTAAGTAACCCTTATAACAGATCACCATTAGCATACTGAATACACAAATGGATATTTTTACCCAAAAATAATTAGGTTAAAGCAAAAATTGTAAACTTACCGAAAACCACAGTTTTGAGAAAGTTTGAGCATGAACTTGCGAACTATTTCAGTTACAAAAATTCCCGCGTTACAATGACAACTTGATACAGGAACGATGTCGGTAAAACAACACCACACTTCGCGCCTATATGGCTATCTGTGATTTTTAACTGGAACTATTACGGTCACCCAAGAGATACTGATGGGGCGGCAAGTTCAATATTTTTTCTGATTTGGGACAAAGTTACCCGCCCGAGCTAAAGTAACCCTCACTTACGGTATTTAAAAATGCGAAAAAAGCTATACATCCTATAAATAGAAAAAGGAAACGTTTCGGAGAATACCATCATTTATTTGTAAAAAAATTGAAATTTGATGATCAAAGATTTTATACATATACAAGAATGACTCAAGAAACATTTTATTACATTTTGGATTTAGTGAAAAACCGTTTGATGAAAAATTGGTGCAATTGGCATAAACAATCAATCTTTCCAAAAGGAAGACTTGTTGTCACCATTCGGTAAGTACGAAACAAATAATTTTAGCGCTTAGTTAATAAAAGATAAAGTTATTAGATTTATAAAAAGATTATAACTTAGATTGATTTAATCTAAGGATAATAATTCAAATACAAATTATTTATTATTCGGACAACATAGATCATAATGACCAGCTGACCAGCGGGTGCCGGCATTTGTCGGCGCTTATCGGCGTTGATCGGCGCTGATCGGCTTTCGGCTTTCTTTCTGTATACGATCTAAGAGACTGGCTTCTGCACTAGGAGAACCTGTAGACAGATAACCAGACTCTCCGACTCAACAACAATCATGTACAAAACTCACCATTCCACACAGCAATTCGTACAATACAGCACCATAACTCCAATAATCACAAACGTGGTCTAAAGTAGGATCTTTATCTTCTATTCCACACAGATATAGTTCTGGGGCCACGTACAAGTTGATACGCCCCGGTTTAACTCGTATTTTGCTCATCACCATGTCCGGTGAAGGGTAGCTTATGAAGTAGGTTAAGATTATCTGACCACCGTCACTTAGAAGGATGTTAGATGGATTGAGGTCCCTGGAAAAAATGGTAAGCTTTTTTAATAAACGAAGAAGTAGTTACGCAGGTTTAGTTCATAGTTTCAAAATGGAAGGTTTTTAGCACATCTTAAAATTACTAGCTTTTGCCCGCGACTTCGTTCGTTATAGTTTTTTGAAAAATTTTCAAGTATATTTTTTTTTTCAGGGAAAGCTTCCGGGGTGAAGAGTTTCCTGCATCTCAATCGAGATAACAAACTATATGGTGTGCCAAATTTCATCCAAATCTGTTCAGCGTTTTTGATTGATTGAGTAACAAACATAAAAACTCTCACATTTATAATATTGATAGGATTACCACGGTCATACACAGGGGCGGGTTTAAAGGTCCAAGATCAAAAAGGCAACAAAAGAGTGGGGGTCCCTAAATTTGGGCTGGACCAATTACGATTAGCACCACCTCCACCTGGTATTGTTTTCTTCTCTTACGTTCTCCCTTTTCAGGGAAGGCAAAGGGAACAATGCCCATACAGCCTAGTTTTCAGTTTTATTAATTACTAATTCTTTTTTCATTACAGTGTGGGTGAGGCATATTGTTATGTTTCTTAGTGTTTCAACTCCCTGATTTGTTTACCATCAAAATACGTTTTTTTTTATCTCTGTTGTGGGCCTCCCTTGGCCACAGCCCCGCATGCTCTGCCTTAAATCCGGCCCTGGTCATACAGAGATTTGGTATGGATTGTTCCTAAGGTAACAGACACACAGACTCTCTTACAAATTTACAGTATTAGCACAGTCCATTGATAGGCCCCCAGTCTTTGAAGAGAGGAGAAAAAGAGAGAGAGATGTGTGTGTGTTGTTATATAATTACCTGCATACAACGCCGCAAGTGTGTAATGAATGCAGTGCTAGCAATATTTGCGCCGCCCAACCACACACTGCCGTCCCTGGCAGCGCCATACGGGGCTGTACACGATAATAAAAATTATCAAATTATAAATAAATATTCTTAATACACACATTACTAAAGTCAGAAACAGACTTAGAAGGCCTATTAAACCAGCTATGGCTGGTCACAGTCTAATCTACACAGTCCAATCGTAACGATTTCTCGTAGTGTGTATGGCCGGTATTAGACTACCCAATTTTAAGGGACCCTTACCCTGACTAAGACTAAGGGTGGTGTAATAAGAGTTAGGGAGTAATAATATAATAATAATAATATAGCCTCTTTATTTCCAAAATGAAAAAGTAATAATAAGTATCATAGAATTGTCATCAATACATTAAACAATAAAATATTATAACAATTAATATTATAAATTAGATTACAATTACCATTACATAATGTCATTTCATAAAATTGTCAAAAAAGAAACAAATTTTAAATAATCTATGTATACAACCTAGTCAATAATTTAATGTCATTATGGACCCCTCAACGAGTTAAGGCCTACTCCATTTTGCTCCACGTCTCTCGTCGTCAGGCTCAGGACAGACGTCCTTTACTTTTGTGGTCCAATTTTAAGAGTTATGGAGTAAAGGATATAGGGCGATTGGCGTCTCGATCTCCCTCACATTTTTTTCTCAATGATGAAGCATCGAAAATGAAAGCAAAAATGATTTTTTATAATTCCGTTTTAATGGTCACGGTCGTATCGCGTTTCATTATAAGATTTACGCCCTAAAAATCGGGTAGTGAAATAGCTGTTAGGCAGTAAGTGAGCTCAGTCGACGCCCTGAGAGCGTATATACATAGTACGGACGTTATTGTAGTCAAATTAGTTTATTGGCGCGATGGTATTGAATGAAGAGAAAGAAGTGTTACTTAATTTTAATTGAGATCTTTAATTTTTGTTATAAAAAAGAAATAAAAAACTGTTTAAATAAGGCACATATTTAAATAATCAGCAAAAAATAGTAATGGATCTTCAAAAAAATACAACTGGTAAACTAAAGTAACCTTTAAGTTACTAATTGTATTTATTTATGTGAGAATTTTTCTTTGATGAACAGTTGCGTATTTCCTTATATAAATAAAGAGAAAAGTATCGAAGGGTCTAGAGAATTTTATAAAAATTTGATCAGAATGCATAGGGTTCCATAACGACGACGTTCTACTGAGATGTCTTTTTTACTTTCAGACTGAGTTACGGTCCGACTGATGACTGCCCTAATTAGGGAACACGCCCACCCTCTTGATTGGGCCCTTAAAATTGAGTAATGTAATAGCTATTTTAAAAACGCGACGTGCCACGACGTCAGCCGTCGCGTGTTAAGTCAAATCAAATCTACTATTTTCTATGATCAGAATGTGTCGTGGCGTCGCGTCCGTCGCGTGTGGTTAAGGCGGAATTAGACAGTTCATCAGAAGTGACTATTTTTGTAATGATTTGTGAATGATGAACAGTGAAAGGACTAGGTAAAATTTATGTATTTAAAAAATATCTAAAATGATACTTAAAAACACTCATTCATCAACATCTTAATAAAAATATTGCTGAAAATATGAATTACAGTAGGAAATCTGCGTATAAAGAAACGTTAATACCTATATGAAATTTGTCATTGACTGACAGATGACAATTAATACTAAATAATATTGGTTTAAATTTATTTGCTTGATTGTGACAGTTTGTATAAAAAACACGTGATTTCTGTAGCTAATTGTTGTTAATATAAAGATGCACATTTACAATAATATATTATCTGTGTTGCCTATAATTTAAATGACATTATTATGGTATAAGTTCCATTTATATTTTTTATGAATTATTATTATTCTTGAGGTATTTAATTGGGCAGAGTTGTACATATGGAAAAAATAATGGTTCTTTTACAAACATTTTTGTTAATGCAATATTTTTTTCCAATATTAATTAACCAATTCTGAAATCGGTGACCAAATAAATACGACATAAAAGCCCACTTACCCTATTCAAAACCGGTGTTCCCTCTATCCTAATAGAGTCAACTTTCTTATCTTCGACTTCCTTCATCGCACATATTTCAGTCTTTGTTTCATTCAGAGCTCTGTCGACATTCATCAACAGTTTCTGCGAGTTAATCACTAATTCGTTAACACTAACATCTACATTGTCCAATGTATCAGTCTTATCACTTTGGTTGTTATTCACTAATTCATCACTATTGATCACTTTAGCACTATCAATATTGTCATTTTCACTGTCAATATTTTTGGTTTTGGGTTCTGCAAAGACATTTTCTAAATTGACTTCTCTGGCTGGTGTGTTCGGTGTTGATTTTACATAGTTTCTTATGTAGTCTAATAATTTTTCTCCCGGAGCGTATGATAGTATTAAGAATATTAGGTTATTTGTTTCAATATATGCATGTAAAGGCACCATATAAGGTACAGCTGTAGGTAATATTGGTTCTCTTGTGTCGTTTGTTCGACGCAAGAAGTATTCATCGAATTCGGTTAGATTATGAGGCACTTTCTGAACTACCTGGAAATATTTAGACAGCAAGTTATTATAAGGTTGGTTGGTTATAAAGGGCAGTAGAAACAACGATTGTAGGCAAAACGATAATTGCTCAAATAATTTGTGAATTCGTTATTTTTGATAAATGCCTTTAGTTGAAATAATTCTGGAGCTTAGATGCATATGGGCGGATGTGCAGGTCGGGCAAATTTTTTTAATTGAATAACAAAGAAAAGCTCTTCGTTCTCTTTCCATAGCACTAAGAGCTGTATTTCTATCTCTTTTCTGGGCTAAGATAATTCCGTGCATAATGTCGGTTCTTACAGATTTTCTAAAATCATTAGAATCTTAAGGTTTCATTTTCACTTCCTTCTCTCTGCGTCTACATTACTGTATTTTTCTTTTGGTGGATTGAAAATTTGGCCCTTATGCTTAAAAAAAATATTCGCACTAAGGCTACGTAAAAGGAGTCACGCCTTTACGGTTCAAACAGTGATTTAAAATATTCATCGTAACTAAACCTCCGATATTACGCATCTAAGATTCCTTTAATAACTTTAAAACGGTTGTAGATATACGACTTTATGCCTTTTGTTTTAGAAACTTTGTAAATGCATTGGTGGGCCAATGTAAAAATAAATCGTTATGGATGTGAACTATTCAAAATATGGCGCCAAAAAATTAGCGACATTGGGCATTATCTGTCCAATGACTAACACTGAATTAGTTTAAGTGTAATGAGATACGTTGTGATTGGTCGTTGCGCGATCGTATGTCTGGCCGTCTGTCACTTTGCTCCTTGCACGCATTGTTTGTTTACATTTCGGTGTTTTTGTTTTACCTTCGGTCTGTTGGTGTTTTGTGAAGTGACTGAGAAACCTATATCTACTGCAAAGTACAATGATCTGATGACTCTTTTGAAATGAGTTCCTATGGAGTTTCATATCTACTATAGAAATCTTACTCATAACGGAAATATTCCCGACTTTCCAGCAAGTGACTAATTAATATATAAAATGCGTTAAAAAAATTGTACCTCTTAGAAAATCATTTTCAAATGTCACTAACTTTTAATATGCACATGTAGTCGCAATAATAATGATTTAATTGAAAAATGTTTCTTAATTGACTTAATTAAAAACATTAATTTTCATTATCAAATGAAACCTAGTGCAAGAAATAATGTGTCACAAAAATTCAATGCAAATTTTGCTACCGTGAGAGTCGCTTGTTGCGTTTCCTTGTGTGGGTATAAAACGGTCCACACGGAGTCAACGCACAGATTTTACTGAAGAAAAATCACCTCGAAGATACCACAGCTGATGAAGCCGCTCAAGTATTTGCACCGTGAGCGTCTCTACGGTTAGAGGAAGACTGAAGGAGAAAAGATAGTGGCCCACAGAGCTGCTACGGGTCCCAAGTTGACAGCAGCGCATCGGCGAGCCCGCTTACAGTTTGCTCGTGACCACGTCCATTGGATCCTTGAGCAGTGGAGAGCTGTTCTCTTCACAGACGAGACGCGAGTGTGTCTTTTCTGCAACGATCAACGGAGAAGAGTATACCGGAGGCAGGGTGAACGTTTTGCGGAAGCCTGCATCCAGGAGACGGTGGAATATGGGGGCGGCTCCTGCATCATCTGGGGCGGTATGTCGGCTGCCAGCAAAATCGGCCTTGTCTGCGTCTCTCGGACTAGAAGTACTCCCGGACAAGGGTCGCTGACTGCTCGCCGCTATGTCACAGAGATCCTAGAAGTGCATGTGGTCCCCTTTGCTGAATCTTTTGGCGAGGGGTTCACATTAATGCACGACAACGCCCGCGCCCACACTGCAGCTATCGTGAGTGACTTCTTACAGAGGTCCCAAATCTCTGTGATGCAGTGGCCAGCGAGAAGTCCGTACCTGAATCCGATAGAGCACCTCTGGGGTCATCTTAAACGCAAGATTCGATCTCGGGATCCAGCTCCTTCGACTCTACAGGAGCTCCAAGTCGCGGTGATTGAAGAATCCCCCCCCTAGCCCATTCTTACACTAGATCGGGAGTAGAGGGAAAGGGGGGTAACACTAGATCTTAAGTTAAATTTAAGGTACTTTTTGTACATTTTTGTTTGTAAATTATCTGTTGTTAATAAGGACTTAATTAAGGTTTTTTTTTTCATTTTAATGTTGTTTGTATAATTTTAATTAAATAAAAAGTTAAATTTAATGGTTTTTGGATACTCCTTTACGTTACCTTTCTAATGATACACAACACTATTCTCTAAATAATATTTAAGAATTTTTAAAGGTGCATTTTTTTGACGCCGTGTGTTATGTATACGCCAGTAAATAGATGAATAATTAAATATTTTAATTTTCTCTCATTTTCTTATTATTATTAAATTAATAAGTATCGTTTATTTATGGAATAGTTTTTTTTGTTAAGAGATGTCCCACTTTTTGCCTAAAGAACCACGGTTAATAAATGAACACAAAAAAGTCGCATTTGGACAAACACCATACATTAAATTACAAAAATTGGAGGCATAAAGCCGTATGGGCACATACTAATCAGTTGAACAAATACATTGAATAATTTTAGTTGCATAAAGGAGGATGTCATCATTTTTTTAAAAAAAGTTAATTTTTTACTGTTTGGAAACATTGTTTTTAAATTTTAATTATGAAGCTAGTTAAGCTCCTTATTTAGCTAAGTAAATGCAAAGACAACATTTACATATTGTTTGTACTTACTGAAATATTTGCCGATAAAATTGAATTTTTATTTTATTCTGTCCTGTAAAGTTGGCAAAATCAACATCCGCCCTAATGCTTCTAAGCTCTAGAATTCTTCCAAACGATCATCAATGAAATAACTACAGTAAAATCCGTTTAAGACGATTTCACAGGGACTCAACCAAAAACGCGTCTTAAGCTGGAAAGCGTATTATGCGGGATAGGATACTACATATTAATATTTATTATATTCTATTATTATGTCGAATGTAGGTATTGAGGTATTAAATGTACAATATTTAAGAATTATGTACGTTATATAAAATGTAGTGTATTATTATTACATTATTTAAAATAATCACATATTTAGTTTGACAAAAAGATTTGAGGCACTACCAATTACAAAATTTTCAACATAATTTAACTTTTGCAGTGCGTCTTCGTTTTGATTCAAGAAGCGGAGCGTCTTAATTCATTAAATGCTGATAATGCCTGGGCCTGTGACAAAATCGGAGTTGACTTATCTTCTTCTTTATTTATTATTACTTAGGGCATCTTCTTGTGTGCTATCAAGAGGTAATATGTGTGGTACATGTTGGTGATTTAGGCGTATTAAACGGAATGACGAATCGTAATAAGAGTTAATAAATGTATGAAAACATGTCTCAAGTTGCAGGGACTGACGCAAAATGGCGTATCATGCGAGAAATCGTATTAAGCGTGAGCGTATTAAACGGGTTCTACTGTAGTTTGCTTTTCCTTATGTCAAGACCAGCATGATACTGGAGCTGAGTATAGCCTGAAGTAACTAGTCTGTCTTACCTTTTTACGCTTTACCCGCTAAACTGATTTAGATGAAAATGGGTAAAGAGGTAGTTTGACTTCCAAGGAAGGACGTAGGATGGATTTTATTCCAGAAATCATCCTAATTCCAAAATGAGGATGAAACTTTGTATGGGAAACGACTAGTAGTAAGTTGGTATGTTACGCTTTCATAATTTAACCACTGCATTGTCATTCCCAGGGTTCCACCTGTCTCTATACCAAAATCTGTCTAATCGATTAGTAGCCTGAACTTAGGTATAGATCACTGGGACAACATTTTTTACGATAATAAAGCTACAAGAGGCTAACATTGGGAATAAAATTTGTATGGAAACCAACAAAACCACGCAGATGAAATCTAAATATATCTTATATCTATCTTTTTATAAATAATGCTTACCTTCATAGCATAACAAGCTTGCTCCCCCTTATGTAAAACCAGCATTATACTAGAGCTTAGAACAGCCAAAACTCTGTATTGTGATAATTCTTCATAAGGTCTCTGCAGCATCGATAGAGGTATAGAACAATGGATATGACGGGATCTGGTGTCGTCTCGCTCTGTCTCTGGCAGTAACTGAATGAGTGAAAGAGACGGATGTGTATCAATCATACCCACTATAGATATTAGTAAATTTGTACCGGTATTGTTTATGTTGTGTATTATAAAACTATTCATAATATTATGGTCTCTATAGCATCGAGAAAGGTCTACTAGAACAGTGGATATGGATTTGGTGTCATTTCGTTCTGTCTTTGGGAATAACTTAGTGAGTGAAATTAATGGATGAGTGTCAATCATACTAAGTACTCAAATTACTTGTTTCTTTAAAGTTCATAGATAGTAGATAGATACATAAAATAGATAAAATTCTTTATACTACACTTCCAGCTAGGAAAGTGCTGTATTCTTGTTTTAAAAATGAATCAGAAAGGATCTATGGGTTGTATTTCTGAGGGGGCTGGAAAAGTGTATGGAAATCCATTTTTAACGCGCTGAGCGGACAGAGAAGTCTATAGAGAATTAGTGTTAACATGCTGTTTGTTTATTTATTTTTTATTGTTCTGAAAAGTGGTCAGTATGAATTTGCAGTCTTTGTATTTCATTTTTTAAACATTTTACTGTTTGCTTTCTGTATAAATTTTGAAAAAAAAACAAAAGTAAAAAGCGCTTTGATTATTTTAACTGGGTATTTGTTTTGTTTTTCTATCTACTCGAGACAGCGTTTATTACTGACTAGCTGTGCCTCGCGGTGTTACCCACGGTTTATTAGGGATATTTTCCCGGAGTAAAACGTAGCCTATGTGTTAATCCAGGGTGTCAGCTAACTCCATACCAAATTTTAATAAAATCGCTCTAGCCGTTTAGATGTGATGAAGTAACAAACATACACACTCACACAACCACAAACTTTCGCCTTTATAATATTAGTGTGATAATGTAGATTTATTGACATCGCCAGAATAAAAATATGAAGTTTTTTTTGTCTAGGAGGAAGTTGAATAGAATACAGAAACTTTTCGTGTGTGTAAATGTGAACTTACGCTTCTTTCAGTGTCGCTCAGGTGATTCTTATATATAGTCTCAGCATATGAAAGATATTTGTTGGTTTTCTCTTTGATCAGTGCACGCCGCTGTGGGTCTGTGTCACCTTAAAAACAAAGAAACATAATCATTAAACATAGAAGTATAAGAATAGAGTAGGGGAGATATAGACTCTACTACTAGTGGAAGTGCCCCTCTAATAGAAAGAGAAAGAAAATGAGGGACCGCTAGCTTTCTCTCTCTGATCGTGCATGCGCATTGGCAACTGTAAGCATCTTACTATTTCGATGTGATGCTTGCACCAACTATTGGACAGACGACTGCGCATGCGTCACAAGAGAGAGAGGTAGCTAGCGGTCTCTCATCTTCTTTCTCTTTCTACTAGACGGACACTTTTAGAGCCGCCTTCCCCATTCTATTCTTATACCTCTATGCCATTAAAGATGATAACTTGACATTTAAAAGAAGTATTTGAATTTGAATACTTCAATACTTCATTATAACACTTTTCAAATTGTCATCTGAAACTTATTAATATAATTGAATCAGAACTTTAGTTGTAAATATGTAAGGATATAAATTTTAAAAGGCATTAACAATCTTTAATACTAGTTCGTACGGTAAATTACTTTCTAATAGAAATATACCCTAATAAATTGTTCAATTCAATTATTATGGTACTGATTGGTAAATAAATTTCCAAACTTTTGGTTTAAGAATATAAATATTTTTCAAGTGCAATATTGAAGTCTTGTAATAGGAGCTAAATTTAGACATTAAGTAAATTTTTAAACTAACTTTTAGACTTATTTTTGTTATAACAATTTTTTATTCTCTTCCAAAGAATCCAAAGTAATATTATTTCTACTTACTTTGTACTCCAATAAGCATCTTCTCAATACCAGATTTGTAGCAATCGAATGCTCTTTGATAGTCGCCCATATCTTCGCATCTCGCAGCCAAATTCAACATGTAGCCAGCTTCAAATACGTAACTATCTTCCGTCTTCGTCTTATTCTCCACGTTGGAAAGAGACATCACGCTTTGTTTACTATAAAGAGAGACGCGAGAACTGCTCCTTCTTTCCATATCGTAGACTGAACTACTTGATTCGTACAAATTGGAAGTTAAAGATGTAGTATCAGAATGAATGTTGCCACTTCTCGACATAGTGTGGTAGTCATCGAACCTCGAAGTGGAAGGCGCGTCGAAGTTAATCAAGTCTGGCAACACAGGTTTTCTTTTCACGCTCGGCTTGTGTTTATCTACGGCGACTTTGTTTAATTCGTCGAAAAGGTCACTGTTTATGCTGTCCAAAGAGTTTAAGGACTCGAAACTGTTGGCGTTGGATAGTTTGTCGTCTTTTGGCGACTGTCGTATCTCAACTTCTGCGGCTTCATAAATGGGTATTTGGGATATGAAGTCTGTTTCGTCTGTGGTCAGTTGCTGATTGTCTGTGCTCTGGGAGCGTGCTATAAGAGAAAAAAACGTAGCGTTCAAAGCTCGATTATTGTATCTTAAAAATAACTAGTATTTTCTCTTATACAGATTAATAAGTTAGGTCTTTAGATTTGGCAGTTCACTTTAATAAAGCTGGTTAATGTATTAAAATTGGTTGTTAAATCATCAAGTAAATCAGTCAATTGCTTTTTGGAATCCAACTGAAGTACGGAATAACGGACAGCAAATCATCATCATCAGCATCAGCCTAATAATGTCCCCACTGCTGGGGCATAGGCCTTCCCTATGGATGGAATAGGGAGATTGGGCCATGACCCACCACGCGGGCCCAGTGCGGATTGGTGGGTGCTAACGACTGACAGCAAATAATCATCTTTAAAGCATTAATGTATTTCGAATACGTTGTTATGACAATTCAAGCCTCAGTTTCTCTTTTTGACAAATTTTGACAGCTCCATAAGTCAAATTTTGTATGGAAGTTTGTTCCTACGTCCGTTTACGGAGCTATCAAAATTCGTGCTTGAGACACTGCTTAATTTACGCACATTTTATAATAAAACTAGTTGTCTCAGCGAACTTCGTACCGCCATTAAAAAAATAGGAGTTGGTGGTAGAAGGGTGAAAAGGACATTGTTCTGCGTCCATACATAGTTAGCCTAAAAACCAACAATCATGAAATATTATTTTCTAGGTTCGAAATCGCAAGTAAATGACTGTAAAAACAAAGATTATTGACGGACACTTCTGAGAACTTAAATTATTAGGAAAACTAAAATTTTTTTGAGGTTATGTTTAATATTCAATGAAACATAGGTCAACCTATGAACTTAGTATGAACTCAGTATAAGTGCATCAATATTACAACTAATTCATTTTATTCGGTGCGATTTTATAGAATAACTATTAGGAAAAACTTGGTTAGGTAGGAATCATAAATAAAATAAAAACAAAAGTTTTGCTTTTTATTATTTATTGACTATTTTTCACATAATTGTATCATATTGTATTTATTTGTTTAACACATGTATATTGTGTAAATATGCAGCGTGAATGTGTATCAGGTGCTCTTGAATAATTTGGCAGTATGATCCTCTCAGAATGTTGTGGCACAGGTTCACTAGCACTTGATAATAAGGTCTCTGCTCTTTGGTTACATCGATGGCATATTAGATAGCCGAAATAGTAATAGTTAAATTAAAGGAAAAACAATCGCAAATAAACACACACAACAGGTAATCCGAACGAGAATTTTCCGTATATAAAAAGTACTCTTTGACGAGAATGCACAATGCCACAGATTAATACGAATGCAAACTGCCTCCACCAAAACCACAGAGTATCGAGTTTATGCCGGCCCTTCACTTGACAACACTTTATCCTTGTCTGCTTAATAAGGAATGAAAAGGACAGACTGATGTCATGTTTTTAAATAGCAAATACGAATAGCCAAGTGAAGTGCCGGCATTAGGAAGAAAGTGTTTTTTGTTTGCAGTGCTGTCATAGATTATACACATAAAATGGTATTTAATGTCTCAGATTATTTATTAACTTTTTAATTTAGCTTACTTAACTGGAAGTGTCCGTCACAATCTAAATACTGATAATTATCGCATAAAATATACTAAGAATTATCATAAATGCCAAATTGGTGTTGGTTCTTAGGCCATTTTTAACATTGTCCTTTAGGGTTGTAAGTATTTTTGTATGATGTATCATAAAAAAATAAAAACAAAACATTTTATCCAAATAAAAAAAAATTAAGGGTAACTAATTAATTTGGTAATTAATTTACCCTTAACATTTAGGGGGATGAAAAATAGATGTTGTCCGATTCTCAGACCTACTGAATATTCATATAAGATTTCACGAAAATCAGTCGAGCCGTTTCAGAGTAGTTCAATTACGCATACTGTGACACGAGAATTTTATATATCTACTAGCTGACCCAGCGAACTTGGTACCGCCCTAAAAAAATAGGGGTTGTCCAGCGGACAAAATTGTGAATCTAAACCATTCTCAGATCCCCTTGAACACACACAAAAAATTCAAAATCGGTCCAGTCGTTTAAGAGAAGTTCAGTGAAATACACACTCACAGAAGAATTATATATATAAAGATTAGATAGATGGTTGATTTTGTAGAACATTGTGTTGTTTTACCTGTGTGTATAGGGCTCCTCGAGTCGTCATCATCAGTCTGGTACTCGAGGGGCGGAGTCTCCTCAATAGGCAGGTGGAGCGACGTCCTTATAGCGTTGATGATTCCACCCGACTGACCCTCGGGTTCTGGGTAGCCAGTCTATAAACACATATTTTTTTTACATCAATCGACAATATCAATGTCAAAGACATCAATTTACGGTTTTGCATACAACGAACATAGAATTGCCGAGTCCACATAATAAAAGTTAAGTTACTCCGTGATCATAGCGCTTGCAACAGTGCGAAATATCGGAAACTCGCTAAAAACAAGGTATATGTAACACTCCCATAAATAACATAAATTACTATAATGTGAGTGACAATGAAAGTTTAAAACAATATGCCTATTTTAATCGGATGTCCTAGTGGCAGATCATTTTATATAAAGCTATTCACTCTTGTAGGCAATCGCGTTGCGTCGGAATCGAAATGATCCGATAAAATCCTGGACTGACACCCGACAAGTAGGAACAAGCTCTAACTCGTTTTAATCCTATTACCTTAACCAAGGGCTGCCATCTCTAAAATGTGGCAACCAGGATAAAACGCGTGACAACCCCGGATTTTGTAGCCCAGAAACCGGACAGACCAATAAAAAAACAGTTAAAAATGTCACAAATCAACTTTTTTATGTTGGTCTAGGCAAAAGAGCTAGCGGTCTACCACATAATAAGTGGTCACTGCTGCCCATGGACACTTGCAGCACCAAGGGCCACTCATGCTTTACCGTAAAATTTTAAACCCGAACTACAAATAAAATCCCGCCCGGACGCTCCCCGGACGTCCCGTAAACTAGCACAAATCCGGGGAAACCCGGACGTATGGCAGCCCTACCTTAACCCGGCAAGCTATTGTTACTGCAGAAATGACGTCTTTCTTGAGGTAGACTATTCTTTTTCAGGACAAGTGCTCCGATTCAAAAGCAGCAGTGCCCTATTTCTCTGACGTCCAATTGAACTGAACTAAGAGACGGCAAATCTTACAAGATTCTTGAGCACAGTCCGTTACAGCAAATGACTAACATAAAGTGACACAAATAACTCGGAAACTGCTGACTTTTTTTAAAATTCAAAAGAAGGTATTGTAATTTTCACAGATCAACGAATTTGCCGAATCACCGACGGCAAACAATGGCGAGTTCAAACAACGTGTTTAGTTTAATTGAAATAATTGACTATTTCCTCGATTGAAATAACCTTGACTCGCAGTTAGTAAAGATAATAATATATTTAAAATAAATCTTTCCAACACTCACACCAATGCAGTGCATACTTGCACTGTAGGCTAGTGTTATGGGATACTAGGGTAACAGATAAAATACATATACTGATACATATATAAGTATATCTATATAGAAATACATTAAACATCCATGACTGGAGTACAAATGTTCGTATTCATCACTTCTCCAGACCTCTTGAGTAGGCGACATCTTGAAACCCGGCGTACAAACCACTCGGTCACGGAGATCGACCGATATAAGTAAATGGACAGTCATCAACATCATCAGCCTCTTAATGTCTCCACTGCTGGTGTACAGGCATTCCCTACAGATGCAATTGGGAGATCGTGCCATAAGTCAACACGCGTACCCATTAGTATGTGCTAACGACTGCAGAAGCAGCCAGAACCAACGGCTCAACGTGCCTTCCGAAGCATGGAGGAGTTCGAGATAATAAATTTTTGGTCACCCATCCAATGATCGGCAATTACGAAAGTCGCTTAACTTCTACGATCGCGGATCGAATTATCACGCTAACCACTTCGCTATCGAGCTGCTGAAATGGATAGTAAAAGTGCTAATTACAGATAATCGAAGCGCGTGATCGATGCAATTACAGAATTAATGATTTCGCTGCAGCAAATAGCATTCTTATAATAAACACAATTGGCAGTCAAAAGTGTTATTTTTAAGCTTGACGGTATTGAGCACAGAACACAGAAAAAGGTTGAGGCAAAGGTGAAGGCAGAGCAAAGAAGGGATCATACACCGTTTGTACGGGAACAGATGTCATGGATTTAGTTAAAAAATTTAAATTAATATCATGATTTTCACATTTTCTGTTATAAGTCGCGGCAACAAAACCACAGACAAATAAATTTTGTATGTAAAATTTATTGCACAGGCTTTCTTGCCTAGGGTCGTTTCTCAAGAAGTTTGCTGGGGTGTATGACCAAGTAATAAATAAATAACAATAGTAGTAGTAATAGTAGTATCAGTGTACTACTGATGATTTTTCTTTAAAATGTGTATGTGCTTAGTATACAATTATATGTATATTTAAATTTATCTAAGCATGCTGAAGTCGGAAAGCCTAATTTTTGGGCGAGAGTAGAATAGCTTCGCTTATGTAAAAGCTAGTAAGTTGGTATTGTAGTCAGTAATTTTTCATCATATAAGGTTTTTGGTAATAAATATTGGTTGTCGTTTGGTGATCTGACAGGAACTAGAGGCTTCGTATTTGATCAGAGGGAGGCCCCTATCGATCGCGGGGCCCTGGGCACTTACCCAAAGTGCCCCCTGGGAAAGAGGGGTCTGTCTATAGGCTATGGTGTCATATAGCTTGTTTGCCATCCTTATAACATAAAAAAGTAAAGAAACTGACCTGCAGGAAATTAACGAAGTCAGTGCTCGTGAACAGCAGTCTGTGCTCGGCCACGAACTCCAGTAGACTCTTGATGCATCTGGCTCGCTCCTCCACCACCTGCGATGCACGAGTGTGACAGAGATGACACCGATACGAAGGATATTCGCAGAACGTTCGCCGCCTTGTTACAAAACGTACACTAAAGTTAAACCGGAGGCCCAGGGTCGAATTTTTGAAGTCAATCGTCAAATTTTGTATGAAAAGAGCTAGTTTGTTCTTACGTCCGCTAGGGGCGCTGCTTAGTTTTCATGGAAACTTTGACGTTACGATACGTTATGGAGGAGCTATCAAAAATTTATGCTTGGGCCTGCGATGCCGGCACTTTTCATGGCTTTTTGTATTTTCTATTTCTAAAGTAGACAACAGTCCTCCGTCCTTTACACTCCTTAAAGAGTATGACAAGGACAATCTGCTGTCAAAATAACAAATAGCAAACACGCTTAGCCCATGTAAAGTGTTACATGATATAATATTGTGAAAGGAATATATGCGAACGACATATGTAAAGTGTAAGTCAGTCGAAATATATTTTTTAATTTAATAAAAAACATATTTTTCTTTATTTAATTATTTTTGAAGTGAAAACTTCTTTATCATTTTTCGGCGCTAGCACAGATCGGCTCGTTGCAAATGCAACCTCAAATAAACTAATTAAACATAATTAGTGAAAGTCACGCTCGAAACGCCCGTTAAACGTATAATTCGGAGTTTATATGTGTTCTTCATTTTTTTAAACATTGTCGTTTTGATGATTAAGTTCATAAAGTGAAAGATGAATTTATGATAATTGATGGTTATGCAATCTTCATTTGATTCAAACAAATTAAAATGCTTTCGAAATTTAAGGAAAACTAGCAAAATATTTCCTTGGATTCAACTTTATCATCAAGCTAATTCAAATCACCGATTATTTTGCCAAAGAAGAATACTTTTTTAATAAATCATATTTTCAGAAATATTGTCAGGAATTGTTTGAAAAAAATAATCATCATGGCCTGCGCAGACGAGCAACTTTTCTCCACGGACATTTTTGCCAAATAAATCGCTTACAACTGCATCGAGTAAAGCACACGAGGATATAAAAGTCCCGCGTAAAAAAAGTCCACCGAACAACCACGACACTTAGAGACAAAAGTACGCTGGAGACCCGAAAAAAAAAATACTCATATGACCAGGCGCTCACTCTTCTTTATATCTTAATAAAGTTTATTAGGTGTTAGTCTACAGACCTCTTTTTGAAACCGCTTGAAGTAACTATGCCTGGTCAACGGCGGGAAGACGCCCTTCAAATGTAGACCGGCGTGCAGAGCTCGCATGCTCTTATGCAGCCGCTGCACGTCGCTGTATCGTTTCCACACCGACACCACTGTCACCGCCTCTGGGGATTCGATGGGGAATAACTGAAACAAATTATTATATTTTTTTAAAACTGATTCAATTAGCCAACCCCTAAAGTATACTGTAAGGCTTGTGTTTTGGGATACTAGGGTAATGTATAGAAAACATATGCAGATAAATATATTTATTTAGAAATACATATTAAAATCCATGATTGATAACCCTTATCTTATTGTTGACGAGGTTATGTGGGACACCTCCCTCCTTCTACCGTCGCCCAACGGGGCTGGCTTAATGGCTGCTATGGAGGAGAGGGGCCCTACCCTCTCACTAAAAGCTCAACAATGTCCCTGTCACCTCGCGTGTGGACACTAGTTGGTGATTCATCGACCCGCAAGGCAACGACACTAGAGGAGGCCACGGGAAACCTTTCGGATGCTTCCGCGACCTCACCATTGAACGTTCGATTTAAGTGGACCCTCCTGCCTCCCCCACTAGGGCGAGGTTTGGGAAATCCCCGGGGTATTAGGAGTATCCTCGATCAGTAATAGACACCTGTACAATGCAGAGTTTGGAACTCCCAAGTCCAGAACCCGCAGGTCTCGGCCAGGGAGGATAAGAAAATGGTCGTAACGCCGTCTTCTAGCATCGAACCTCCTGCGGCGCAGAGTCCGAGTGAGCTCGCTCCTCACTAACCCTCTCCGCAGCCCCCTTCTGTGAGATGACATTCTCGCGAAAATCGACCACCGAATAAGGCGTATACCAGGAACTATGGCTATCCAGCACAGCTTGAAATATGCTGGGTAGGCTCACTATTGCTAACAGAGTGCGGCGCTGCTGTGACCACGCCGGACACTTCTAGAGGGTGTGTCGTGCCGCGTCTACAGCAGCTCCGTACTCGTGGCATGACGGCGACGCCTCCCCCTGGATGCGGTAACGATGCTGTCCGAACCAATTATGCCTCGACAATATCTACACTGAACGAAAGGTCAGCGACCATAACCTCTGTTTTCTGTAGTCTTCTAAGATTGGAAACAGCACCCCGACCATAAAAGCGACTGCACACATCTCCTCATTGTCACCTCTACCCTTTGGTACCCTAATCAAGTCCTCTATGGTTGGACGCTCTCCGCAGCTTCTAGTTGTAACACGCACTTGTGGACCTCAGCAAATATCTTTGTGCTTCAAGCTCCCAAGGCTGCAGCCCAAGAAATGGTACGGAGTAGTCCATTTTTCTCACAAAATGTAAATTATGAGAGAATGTCTCGAATTGCTTGAAATATGAAAACAACCTGTAAAATATGAATAATAAACAAAAATATGAATATCAAACTAGACCACTGATAGTTATACTATTACAGAAAGTGTTCTTTCACAACCATGTGATAAGTTCAATATTGGTTTTTAAGTAGCCCATTTACAACAAACTTATAATAATATCATTATCAAAAAACGGCAGTGACTGTGTACAGAGGGATTGGTAATTTTACATAGAAAACTTTTTAGCATTCTTTCATTTTCAGACAATTAAAATTGAAGAGGTAATCATGATAAGATACTTGCTTAGTAATTATTGAAGAAAAAATATTCCACACTGGTGTCGATTCTAACATGATTCTCTAAACCTAAACTTAAAATTAACAACAGTGTATCCTTGTCATACCCTAAAAAAATGAAAACAAGAGGCTGATGTTAAATTTAGTTATAAGTTTAGAGAATCAAGCTAGAATCGACACCACTGTATTCTAGTAGTTTATTTATCATTCTGAAAACATAATACTATTGAAATATTTATATTTTAAATAAGACTTGTAGTTTTGGAAATGGGACACAACAGGGGACTGTAAATTGGGGTGTTTGTAATGTAGCTCTAAAATGAATTTAATTAAATATTCTATAATTTTTAAATTTTAGGCTATAGCATGTCAAGAATTCCTATAGTTTTGTTTTTTTTGTTTTTGTTTTTTATTTCGACACTCACACCAATTAGCCTAGCCCCAAAGTAAGCACTATAAGGCTTGTGTTATGGGATGCTAGGGTAACGGATAGAATACATATACTGTACATTTATAAGTATATTTATATAAATACATATTAAACATCCATGACTGGAGTACAAATGCTCGTATTCATCACACAAACATCTGCCCCCACCGGGATTCGATCCCGGGACCTCTCGAGTCGGCGACAGCCATGAAACCCGGCGTACAAACCACTCGGCCACGGAGGTTGTCATAGTGTAGTTACTAATTACATAGATGTCAGCAACAATGAGATTTATATTGAAAAAATGCTTGGGATGGCAATTTCCCAATTAGTGAAGATATACCCATATAAGAAATTCTTTCACACAGGTGATTTAGTGGTCGGTAATTCACAGGTGATCATAGTGGAATAATCTGACTGTAGTGATAGTGCTTAAATTATTACACATAATTATACTCAATGTAATGATGTGAATTTAGATTGTTTATAAATATAAAAAATCTATTTTGCTTTGCTTGTTTTCCTTTAATTAGCAGTATAGTAGAAAAATAGAAATTGTGAAAATATGATCTAAGTAAACACTACAGTTACTTTTCAGGGCATTGTTTAATCAGAGAGGGTGTCTCAAATTACTTGCAATATAGTGGCAGAATATTTGTGCTTGCATGCTTGTGATAATTTACAAGCAAGCAATAACTCCCATTATAAAACAGAAGAAGAAGACCTACTTTAAATCAATTCGTGGTATGGCTAACAATGCAATATAATTTCTTGGAATATTAAAAACGCTTAGCTGGTATTACACAATCTTTTGACAAATGATTCATCATGGTGTACAAAAATAGTTAATAATATACTTAAATAGATACTTTATAAACCTACTTAAAAAGATCAAGTATATTTTTTTATTGATTCATACGAAGTAATCTAGAAGACAGGCACACAGGCGACACTCTGACCCAAATATTCATAAAAACACCTTAACACTTAAAGTAAACAAAATAGAATAAGTAGGTATATAAAGGCACAAGTTGCCTCTTTTTTATTATACTAAGTTAAATATAAGCTCTTTATTGGTGCAAGTATAAATACTCACAACAGAAGTAATCTTGTAAATAGTAAAGCCATTTTTGTATTTTGAGGTTTCATCCACTGTAAACCGGCGAACCCACTTGTCTTTTCTTTCCGACATTTTTAGTTTCTGCTGTGGAACTTAGCACTTATTTTAAACGTAATCACGATAACTTACAACAGACATATTGCGTGAAATAAATTTACCATGTACTTCTCTACAACCGAACGTATTTATCTTATTTACGAAGCCAGAAGGAAAAAAATACAATTTTTTTAGTGTTCACCAAGACCAAGTTCGTTTTGTTTTGTTTGACGTTGACGTTTCCTCCACAGCCTGAAGAGATACTCGAACAATCACGGCTCGAAATACTGCTTTCCTCTAGTGATGCGAAAAAAATATCGGTTTCTCTTTGACGATGAAATGTGTATTGTATTGTATAAACGAAATTATTGCCGTTCTTAAAATAATACTGTCACATGTTTGTGCTAAAAAGAAAACAGAGACTGGTTTAAATCAAGACTATCTTTAGTCCACATTTTGGAATAAGGCGGTTAAAGACCTTTTTTATTTAGATCGTCCTGGGGGCCAATCGCCTAACGGAAATGCTTTGGGAAACGCTAACGCTTACGATTTTATATTGTTATTTCTAGCCGCCTGAGGTTTTCGAATACCTCACGCTCATTTTTTTTAATATTGTTATTACCAATGCAAAAGAAAAAGAAAGAGCGCGAGGCATTTGAATACCTCAGGCGGCTAGAAATAACAAAATAAAATCGTAAGCGTTAGCGTTTACCAAAGCATTTCCGTTAGGCGATTGGCCCCCTGTTACTTATTTGTTTTCTTTAAGCCGGGTCTTCAGCAAAAATTCATAAAAATAAAATACACAAAACTTTGTTTCTTAATCATGTTTTTCTACATACACCGTCTACTGTTCACGTAGCTGTCGTACATAAAATACACAGGGCTGCATTCCAAACCTACGACTCAAGTGCAAAAAATGACAAATTTGACAAAAGTTACGTACAGAGTCTGGTTACTGGCTGTAAGCTCTCCCTTCAGTTAATATCGGGACTTTTCTTGACAAGAGCACTCTGTATCTCGCGATATCGCTTAGACTTGGCGTCAAGACAAATCATCCCCATCGCTGTCGTTGTGGTACGCACGTTGAGACTATTAAAAGGCACGATGAAAAGGCTGGCAGTTATCTTGGTTAACGGATGAGTCTTGCCATCCAACGTGGCAATGTTGCCAGTCTATTGGGAAACATTTCTGACGGCGGGACTGGGGGTGACATATTTTTTATTTTGTAAATTATAAATTATTTAAGTAAGGTTATTTGGATTGTAATAGAGATTTAGTAGTTTTTAAGTTTTTGTTATTAAATTTTATCTATTTTTTAGATAAAGAAGTATGCAGGTTTTACTTCTTATAAAAAATGTATAATCTATCAATTTATAAATTAATTGTAATATCGCTTTTATTTATCGATTATTTTATTACTTGTGCATCCTTAGTCCCGTCACATAATGACGGCTAATGACATTGACAACTGGTCTGCGTTCCAAAACTACGCCCTAAATGCAACATTTTACCCTAACGTTTTAATTTTGACATAAATATATGAAACTTATGTAAAATTTGACATTTGTTGCCTCCAGAATGTAAATTTGGAACACAGTCCTGTTTTCTTGCCTTTTAAGTTTACCTTAGAGTTTAATAAATATACTCAAAGCTTTCAAGCGTAGACACTCGGATTACCGAAAAAAAAGAGAGTATAACCACACGACTGAAGTGAAACTTCTTTAGCTCCAATGATCTGAAAATCCGGTCCGTTATCACCATCCAATCCGCGCTGGGTCCGTTATCACCCACAAAGCAGTTCTATATTCTAGTTCTTATATTTTGTGACGGGTATTGTTCATTGTTTACCGATGAGTGCGCGCGTAACGCAAAAATCGTCACACATTCACCAGTTTAACCCCTAAGTAAAGCGTGCTTAAAGAAGTTTCAGTTCAAAAACTGAGCGTAGATCAGATTTTCTGTCTATGCTTTAAACTTTTTAAAAAATAGTAGAAGGCAAGCGAGTCTAAGGCCGTATACAGAAAGAAAGCCGAAAGCCGATCGGCGCTGATCCTTTTTCTATGGACCAGCGCCGATCGGCGCCGATCGCCATTTTAAATTAATAAACAACGACAACAGGTACGTCAATTACTACACGCAATTATTTTATAAGTAGAAAAATGGATAATGACATTTTGATATCCTTAGTACCAACTAAACCCTACGAGATAGATCAAAATAATGTACTACAGTATTGTACACCTTGAAAAGGTCTGCAAAAAAGTCCGCGATGGTATATGTCTATCTCTTAGGGATAACCCACAATAACCATTTTTATCCTATACATTTTACGAGAAGTAATAGCTTATTTACGAAGCGATTTTCAGCAATATAACATTCATTCTTATCCAATTAAGTACCTTAAATACATTGTGCATTTAATATAGATCAATTTGCCCCTTTAAAGCATGTAATTTAAATGACTATTTTCGAAGATATTACAGATTTAAAATGCAGGGACATAGCGGTTCCGACGCTACTGGGCGGGGGGCCAGGCGGCGCGTGCCTATTGTAATTAGGTAACAGAAGAATGTCATTGTGTATAATACAAGCCCGAGAATAAAAACTATAGACTACACTACAGCTCTACACCGAAGCGAAGCGAGGTTTACTACTAGTGTTTTATAGATAACTAGCTGTGCCCCGCGGTGTTACCCGCGGTTTATTAGGTATATTTTCCCGCAGTAAAACGCCTATGTGTTAATCCAGGGTGTCAACTAACTCCATACCAAATTTTATTACAATCGCTCCAGCCGTTTAGACGTGAAGAAGTAACAAACATACTCACACACTCACAAACTTTCGCCTTTATAATATTAGTGTGATGATAATAATATTGTTTATTGACATACACCTCACAGGACATAAAAGACATGATAATGATACGGAACCCTTCGTGCACGAGTCCGACTAGCACTTGATTCCGATTTTTTTATTATGATCTATGTTGTTCAAATAATGAATGATTTGTATTTGAATCATTATCCTTAGATTAAATCAATCTAAGTTATAATCTTTTTATAAATCTAATAACTTTGTTTTATAGATAATGATAATAATATTGTTTATTGACATACACCTCACAGGACATAAAAGACATGATAATGATACGGAACCCTTCGTGCACGAGTCCGACTAGCACTTGATTCCGATTTTTTTTATTATGATCTATGTTGTTCAAATAATGAATGATTTGTATTTGAATTATTATCCTTAGATTAAATCAATCTAAGTTATAATCTTTTTATAAATCTAATAACTTTATCTTTTATTAAAGTTTAACAATAAAATAGTTACCTATTTATTATAGGTACCATGTAGATATTTACTGACTCAAATTTTTGAATCACTAAAATAATATAATGGGCAAAGAATAGTTTCTTAAGCCTTTTGCAGTTAGGGACTCATCAACAAGCCCTATAATATTGAGAGCTGTTGTTAGGGTACCTATAGCGGATTTTTTGCTGGAATCGGAGCGCCCGTCTGGGAAAGTAATAAACCAGCTTACAGAAAACAACAGTGAAATAACGTACCATCACGTGGATCGTATATTATATTTGTTTGCCACCCTTTTAACATAAAATAAAAAAAAAATTAATATAGGGTAATGGCACCAGTCATGGACAGTTTGAACTTAAATGCGAAAATCGGTTATTCCTTTACGATTTATTTTGACGCTGAGCTCGCCGTCTTAATTTTGAAAGAAGTAAAAGTTGGATATGTAGTTTTCTAAAAGGAAGGTTTTCAGTGTATTACTAACTCCTTCTTTATTAGATATTTTAAAAGTTGATTTCTATTATGTAGTCAATGTGAAACTTAAACAAAAACAAATATTTTCATGGTTAATATAGGAACTCCTTTATATTTGCTCCATGGGTAACTCTACTACTGAATGTACAAACTAACTACCTATCAAGTTTTTAACAAGAAACTAACTTATTTAATTCCAACATACAACGGTAGATGGCAAAGCATCACGGGTTTGCATTTTATTGGATATTGGTAGCTTCATGTTCTTTCCAATTCCACTTACCAGATGTCGCTTAGTTTAAAAATAAACAAATTCGATATTGTGTTATGGTTGTAGCTTGTGGCATGACATATGATGTAAATAGTGGATGATTCATAAAAGAGCCAACACAAGTGTAAATTAATATGCTTAAATAATAATTATTGTATATAAATATCGATGACTACGATATTAACTAATGAACTGTGTTTGCGGGGATGACGGAGTGAGTTAGTAAAAAATATGAAGGTGCAAGCAAGCAATAGGTCAACTTGTAGCTTCATTACTTATCCCCACTCCGGCACTTGGTCGTATAGCGCGCGGCGAGAGGTTGTGCGAGTTTACCTTAGTGTCGCGTCGTGTTTCTTGCGTCCTCGAATTCTTCGCAATAATACTTTTCCTTCGAGAAATGCACCGAATTATCTATTTGCTATTGGCGGATTTATAAAATACAGTGCGACAAAATAACAGTTTGAAAAAAATGAGTTCCGAATAAAGTGTTATAATTTGTTTTTGTGTGTCCTAAAAGCCCAATTACTAACCGGATATTGTCAAGATGGGATCAAAAATCGAATACGTGGATTCTTCACATTTATATGCCACAAACTATGTTCGCAATTCAAAAGCTATTGGTGTACTGTGGGCAATATTTACAATTTGCTATGCTATTATAAGCGTTGTTGCCTTCGTGACACCCGAGTGGATCGGCGATTTGGAGACAGAATACCCAAGGAAGTTTGGATTATGGCAAATATGCAAGTCTGAAGATTCTATTGAGGACTGCAAAGGCAGATTGGATGATTTCATGTCGATAAACGGATTAGTGTTCAAGATTGCGACCGTGTTAGTGGGCATAGCGGTTGCCCTGGCACTGTTTACTATCTGTGCGATGCTGTTATTCTTCTTTTGTCAGTCTACTACGGTGTTCCACATCTGTGGATGGTTGCAGTTGTTATCAGGTAAGTTTCATTGAAGTCTGACATCTTGAGACACTTTATTCTACTATTCTTTATATTAAGAAAGAGACAATGCGGTCGCACAAACAAAGCGAAAGTAATCAACTTAAAAGCTCCGTTTGATAACCTTGGTATCTATCTTGTTCGTAAAACGAGTCTGAAATAAACAGACCTTATACGAATATTATCTATAAACCTCTATAAGATAGACTGAGAATTATTACAGAAAACAGGTGCAAGTATCAAACATCCGGCATGGTGCAGCAGATGCTATATTGCTTTACCGATTTCCTTATGGCACAGAGTTTAAAGATGGAAATGGCTCAAAAAATCTGAGTCACGATCGGACCATCTCGCTTGATTTTAATAATTAGCCTTTCTCGGGCTCCGTTCTACCTGCCAACAATAGAGCCTTAGTGTCAGGTAAATGACACCCTCACTTGTCGAGATTCTAATAAAAACGGCAGATCCAGGAGTCCATATTGCCGTATCGGGTCATATAAAAATAAGACACGTCAGCTAAAAATAAGGTGAAAAAAATCAGAAATCATTGGAAGTACAAAAACCAGTCGATTGAGAAAAACGAAATGAACAGAAAACGGAAAGGTCAAAGCACCTAGCATAGGCACACGGGGATATTTTTTGTTGATAGGAAATACAATTACCACGAACAGTTGCGAAAACTTACTTACCTATTTATTGATAAACGAAGGACATGTTAATGGCACACTTACACTTGTCATATTATAGGTATATAATTGATATATAATCATTATTGTGACCACACGAACCACAGTATAGTAGTACCTACGAAGAATGACTAACTAACTACTAAATAATCATGAAAATAAAGTCAATAAAATACTAACTAGGTATGCACTACGTATCTATTTCGAGTTCGTTTTTTCCAAATGGTAGGTATTATTAAAAACTATTTATTAGTAAATTAATAGATATCGTAATGCTTTTCCTAATAAATTACTAATAATGATTTACACAATCAAACAAATCGCTTAGAGCAAATCGAGATCGCGATGGAATCATCATTTAAATGTTTTGTGTTGAGAGATGTTGTGTAAGTCTCCTAGTAAACCACCAGTTGCATGTAATGCGAAGCCAATCATTCTCAGATTACCTAGCTACTTACAATAGAATGAAGTTTCTTAACAAAACCTCATTCATGGTTGCTAATCAGCACGTGTCCTATCACCAAAAAACAAGGCTGTTGATTTCCGCACAAAGAAATTCCGCAAATGCTGTTTTGAATTATTTTGTACACTTGGAAATTTCACAAAATATGTCTTGCAAAGAGATCATCTACATACATACACATGAAAATAACAATGAAATCAGTATAAAGATGATATCTTCACCGTTCACACTCCGTTAGATCTTGTTAGTCACATTTCGTGATATGTATTTTCTCATTTCGAAACGCTCAAAATAAAAGTACGACTAATAAAAGCATATTGAATTTGTATTTTCTGGGTATTAACTATTTTATTGCATCTGCTTATTACCATGACATTGCAATGAAAGCATCACTATACTGATTAAAAAGAAATTTTTTAACAATTTCAAAAGAATAAGACTTAGATTAAAGCCTAGCCCACAATCGCAATAATAGCATCTCCATGTTCATAGAAACATGCAACATTGGCAGATTTCTGACCAAGTATTCTAGATATCTTACGTGTTTCAAGAACATTATCACTTTCAGAATTTGTGACTAATTAGATCCGACATCAGAAATGGAATTAACATGGTTTAGTTAGTAGTGACAGCAAAACTGGTAAAATACGATAACATCATCCAAGCAAAATAGACAGTTTTTTGTGCCGACAACGATCCTGAATCCAGGACTGCTATGTGTGAATTTAGCGTATTATGATTTACAAAAAAATTAAATTAATTATTACGGCGTGGTTCATAAATTTTTATATTAAAAAAAACTAGAAGAAAATCATCATATCTCCGAACAACGGTATCAGTTCTTGCAATCTTTCCCATTTGTATTTCTGTTCTTGATTTTTAATTCTGGATTATCGTTGATATCAGTGTCATATAGCATAGCTAATAGTAATAGAAGCTACGTTAAAAAAATATGCGTGTGACTAGATGATGTAGCAAATACCACAAAAAAATCTAAGTGGCAAAGCCAAGAAACACAAATAAATTATTGCTATTTTTAACCTTCGCGAAGTCATTCAAAATGATTACTTGCAGTTTTATTGTATGTAAATGCATCATATTACTATATTATAAAGTGTTAACATTGACATTTTGTCAAAACAAGAACGATGCCCGATTAGATGTTTGTGGCGAAGCCTACAAACATTAATGTAGGTAATATGACCTCATCCATCACTTCGAAAGTTCACCGTACCGCTACGTGACCGAAAAAATAACATACGAGTCTAATGGTAAAAATTGAAAATCGGTAACATCTTTATTTTTATTTGTTTCTTAAGTTTTCACGCACATCACTCATTAAATAAAACGTAACGTAACGTAAATAAAATAGTTTTTACGGGTTATCTTTATTTTTAATAAAAATAATAGGAAAGTTTGAACATAGCCTGTACAATATGACAATAAAAAATATATTTTCAAGTTATCTTTTAAAGTTCACTAAATCATCCTTTTTGATAAGTGGCCGCTTCTGAGGTTTATTACACTGTGACAGAACTAATTGAATTATTATTAATGATTTAAACACAGATATTTCAGGAATTCTTTATTCAATGCTTTAACATTAAATAAGAATAGAATTTAAGTAAGTAAAAGAAAGTACCTACTAATATCGGAAGAAATTTAAATAATTAAGAAAATACTAGAGAATACCTCACTCGCTCCAGTGTCGTTTTAGTTCTCCAGACTATTAAAAATTTAAATGCAAAATAATTTAAAATGCTAAAAATTATGTGACTGATGGTGAAATGAAACCCGCATGAAAATTCGTTCAGTAGTTTTTTATTTAATTATGGACCTTCTTATTAGATGCGATGGAGAATACGAAACAAAGTTTCATAAAGTACTTTAATGCTTATACTGGTTTAGCACTAGATTCTGGTAAAAGACAACCTTATTATTAAGCAACGATATAAAAAAATCGCTTTAACAGATATTAAAATAGCAGTTATTCTTTTTATTACTTGCAACCACCTCAAATAAGTTTAGAAGAAGGTCAAAGTACCTTTCTAAAAATACCTATCTGTTAGCTTTGCAAATTGTTCTATTTCCGAGAACAAGTATTACGTATGCATTATGTTAAACCATTAAGTAATTATCATATCAAAATTATATCACTGATAACTGCTTATTTAATGTCTGTTGTATTTAATTGAAACGATCAAAATTGGTCGGCAGACCAGAGGATGTGTTGAAATAGCAAATTTGTAGCAAAAAGTGAAAGTTCGTTGATTTCATCTCGATAAGGACGACGGCCGAAATCAATGGATGATTTCTGAATAGCCGCAATTAAGTCTGTCACAGTTTGAAGCAGTTAGCCTAATTCCGTTTTGTGAATAGTCCAGATTTAAAACGCTGTGTGTATCCTGTTAGCCCCTTATTAATAAACAAGGAATAAGCTTAGACTAGTTACGCCGTATTTTGTTCATGTCACTCAAATGACTTTTGTAATTCAATAGACAAAGACAAAACATGGAGTAACTATAGCGTAGTCTTCGTTTATTAATAAGGGGGTCTGTGTTATCTCGCTAAAGTACTGAAATTAGATAGATGACAACAGACAGATAAATCGTAAAAGTTTTTAGTCATTACTCAAATACAATTTCACTCATATCATCACTTTTGATGAGTGTAGTAAAATACCGTCGCACCGGGGCGGCAAACTCGACTGGGAGTAATCTCGAAAAAACAAAACAGTGTTAAAAGTGATTATGCCGAAATTTGTGCCTTTTACCTTGTCAGTTACTTTTATGACCCACTGACTGCCACTTCATAGCATGGACTTACAATTTTACACTTTGGCTCTTGTTCTTCTTCTTTTTGTGACAAGAAGCAAGCTCGACATTTATAAAATATTAAATGCTATGGAAATCTCACTTCACTTCTGTGACTACTTACCTAAGGACCTTAACGTATTTTTTTTTTCAATGTAAACCAGGCTTAGGCTTGCCTTTAAAAATTCTCCATTTTTTCTAAGCCGGATATACTTAATTTTGGCAAAATAGTATTAGCTACATTTCCGGACTAATAAGAACGAATTTAAGTGATAACTTGCCAAACTGCGGATGACCCGACCTGACCCCGGCGTAGTAAATACCGAGGCTTAGCACCTCATAATCGTATATTAAATAATATAAATACATAATTTTCGAATATATTACATAGGTAGTACTTAATAAGATTATTTTAGAAATGTAACTAGGTCATTTATGTAATACTAGCATAATATTAGACTTTGCACGCAATGCGAATGCGACTTAGCCTGCGTGAATGTAATAATTTCAATACATATATCCTCCCAAAGAACCTTATCTGAAATAGGGTAATACTTTGTCTATTAATATTAATAATAATGGTTTATTTATCTTAAAAGTTACAAATGGTCTGAAATACTAATTAGAGGAATTAAATCTTAAATATAATTCATTCGTTTAAGAGGTTCGTTGACGGCTGTACTAGTATCTATCATTTACTACTTACTTACGGCGTATTTACCCTAGGACCAAGTGTAGTAGGGGCTAGCTGGCGACATCGGTTCCTGTACAAACGGTCTATGACCAACCTACTGAAAATAGTGAAATTGCGTGCGATGCGAAGAACATGCGAACAAAAAGACCAAATCATCGTTATTGGTTACGAAATAAAAAAAAAACGTAATAGCAAATCTGAACAGAAGGGCCCATCAAACCGGAAATACAGTTTCTCTTTGTTTCGTAACTAATCGAACGATTTGTTATGATCTAGTATTACTAATTGATTATTATATACCTATTTGATGCTTGAGTGCTATAGCTGACCAACATTGATGGTACCCTTTGAAGAATTCATTTTTTTTAGTTCAAAATGTATAAGGCACTTTAAACGTGAAGCTAGTAGAACTCCATCAGAAGAGTTGTATTATTTTTAAGTTCAGAATGTATGGCACTTGGTCCACCGCCGACGATGAATGAGAAGCGAGTAGAACTAAGTTAGAAGAGTTGTATTTTTTAAGTTCAAAATGTATAAGGCTCTTGGCCCACCACCGACGATGAACGAGAAGCGAGTAGAACTAGTTGTATTTTTTAAGTCCAAAATGTATAAGGCTTTGACCCACCGCCGACGACGAACGAGAAGCGAGTAGAACTAAGTTAGAAGAGTTGTATTTTTTAATTTCAAAAATGTATAAGGCACTTGGTCCACCCCCGACGATGAACGAGAAGCGAGTAGAACTCACTTAGAAGAGTTGTATTTTTTAAGTTCAAAATGTATAAGGCACTTGGACCACCGCCGACGATGAACGAGAAGCGATTAGAACTCACTTAGAAGAGTTGTATTTTTTTAAATTCAATAAAAATAAATAAATATTTCCAACACTCACACCAATTAGCCTAGCCCCAAAGTAAGCTGTAAGGTTTGTATTATGGGATACTAGGGTAACGGATAGAATACATACTCTGTACATATATAAGCATGTTTATAAAGAAATACACATTAAACATACATGACTGGAGTACAAATGCTCGTATTTATCACACAAACCTCTGCCCCCACCGGGATTCGAACCCGGGACCTCTCGAGTCGGCGACACCATGAAACCCGGCGTACAAACCACTCGGCCACAGAGGTCGTCAAAAATGTATAGCACTTGGTCCACTGCCGACGACGAACGAGAAGCGAGTAGAACTAAGTTAGAGGAGTTGTATTTTTTTAAGTTTAGAAATGTATAAGGCACTTGGTCCACCGCCGACGATGAACAGTAGAGCTAGAAACTAGTTAGCGAGTAGCTGAAAGCGTGTGTGTAGTTCAGATAGTTTTATCGCTGGGCTTTAAGCGTGTGTGCGAGTAAAACGGGCGATTATTATTAACGCCACTCACTTGCTACGCGGTGACAGTTCTGAGCAAAAATGCAAACGTGCTACGCTGAGCCTGCTAAGCTTGGTGTGCTCAATAGATCGAGAATGTACTTCACACCGGCCCACCGACTGCAGCTTTATAAGGCACAGGTTCGGCCTCACATGGAGTACTGCTCTCATCTTTGGGCGGGGGCACCCCAGTACCAGCTTCTTCCTTTGGATCGCATCCAGCGCCGAGCGGCTCGAATCGTCGACGACCAGTACCTTTCCGATCAGCTTGATCCTTTGGCTTTGCGTAGGGATGTAGCTTCGTTCTGCATCTTCTATCGCATTTATCACGGGGAGTGTTCTGAGGAATTGTTCGGATTAATTCCAGCTGCTGTATTTCGCCATCGTACATCGCGACAATTTCATCCCCAGCATCTTGATGCGTGGCTATCCACAACCGTGCGTTTTTGTCGAAATTTTTTACCACGTACGACAAAACTGTGCAATATGTTGTCGCCAGCAGTGTTTCCGGACCAATACGACCCAATAACCTTCAAAAAAAAGAGCGTACTCCTTCCTTAAAGGCCGGCATCGCATTTGTGATACTCCTGGAGCTCTACTCTCTTTCTCCGAAACGAAATTTCGGTAACGAACGAATTTCAAACGAAATTTCGCCAGTGTCTCTACTCTATTTCATTTTCGAACAGGCACATTAACTTCGGAACCATAAACAGTTTTCGTGAACGAATGGAATGAGTCATGTTTGTGAGTTCTTTTTATCTCTACTTTTAAGAAAACTTTTTTTTACTTGGAAACAATATAGGTAGTTTACGGCAAATTTTTTGATGACATTAAAAGAACCTTCTTTGACAGTGTTAGCCGACTAATTTGTAGAGTCGATACAATCTACTGTATGTCAACCTCAATTTGTCGTTTAATACTTTGAAGTATAGAAATTACAAAAAATAATAAAAAAATGGTTTATTTGTTAATTTTACATGCTAAAAATGTTACTCGAGCTAAGCAGCTATTATTAAAAATACTCTTGCAAGTATTTTAGGCTTAATTAAAACAAAAATCTCAAAACGAAAATGAAAAGGTAACACTTTTCATTTCGTCGATTTGAGGTTAAAATTTCGAACAATTATCTGTCAAATTCAACTTTTCCTTGGAAAGTTTTGTGAATTAGAGTAGGCTTGGAGAATTTAATTGTTAAAATATTTCGGACGAACGAATTTTCGAAATGAAAAGGAAACAGAGTAGGGAATTTGCGAAATTTCGATCGAAATTTCGTTTTTCGTTGAAATAGAGTAGGCCTCCTGGTGTTGCAAGTGTCCATGGGCGACGGTGATCACTTACCATCAGGTGAGCCGTCTGCTCGTATGCCCCCTATAACATAAAAAAAGCGAGTTTTATATTTGATAACCTCTTGTCACTCAGCGACAAACTAGTGGAGTGAGTTTGCGCCAGTTGTGTGAGCAGTCAGAGACCAGCAATTAATATGTATATTATGCATCTCTTTTGTTTACATGGATTATATATATAACGATATATATATATCTATTGTACGTTTCTTGAGTTAGAAAATCGCCTATAGCTAGTCGCTTCCTCGCCGGCGGTGGGACAACTGCCTAAACTAGACTAAATGTTATTTTAAGACAAATAGTATGTTAAATGTACCTCATCTAGAAGAAAAATAAATAAAGCTGTAGGTACGCGAAAAATCTTGGAACTGTACCCTTAGTACGAGTTTTACAATTACGAAAACTATGATAGTTTTCGTGAGCTCGCACTCGTACTAAAGGTACTGATTTTATTGTTTTTATTTAAATGCAAGTAAACAGTGTTTAAATTCTATCATTAAATCGTTTGCGTCTTTTTAAATTTTAAGTATATTTGGTTAGCAGACCCGTCTTTCTCAGTGGGTACTTTGGGCAAGTGCCCAGGGCCCCGTGATCGACAGGTGGGCACCTCAGATCACAAATACAAGGTCCCTAGTTCTTGTTAGATCACCAAACGGGGGTCATAGGGTCTATTATCCTAATATGCCCAGGGCCTCCAATAGGTCAAAGACGGCACTGTTGGTTAGTTTTCACCAAAACATAATTTACAATTACGAAAACTATGATAGTTTTCGTGAGCTCAAACTTGTACTAAGGGTACTGGTTAGAAAGTGAGTTGCTGTAAATAGCTGTATCAACGCTTCGAGTTATAGAAAACTGGAAAGTGCGATTTATTTCGTAGTTTTATCGAGTCACGCTAAGGAGAAGTGTTGAAGAGCAAATATTTGGCGTTTTATTTTGTGCAATTACATTAATAAATAGATAAGTACTAATAATTCAACATCTACTTTTACCACTGCTGTCTGAAACTGAAGAAACTATTATTTCATTAAACCCACGGATAATAGATTTCGCTATTAAAAATTGCATTCCTAACCATAGACTTTATTATTATCTTTGTTATTTATGTCACACTGACATGCCATATTATGTTAAAAACCACTTGGTATTTTCATTTTATTTTTTGCTAAGTAATTTTACTGATTACCTTTAAATAAATCACTATGACTTCATTCCCGGAACCGGACAAATGTCCAAAAGTCTGTCATGATATCGGCGCGTTCAAGAAAGCTTCTAAATCACCCGAACAGGTAAAAGAAGAAATCAAAACAGCCAATGATACAAAAGTAAAAGCTGCAGAGGTTCCATCAACGCCTCCCGCCTCCGAAGAGGCTCCTGCACACGAGTCATTAAGACCTCCACCTCCAGGGGAAGAATACTTACCTAATCTTAAACCAGGTCAAGATGGAAAAGTTGATTGGACACCTTTAGGTGCCATGACAGGTACAAGACCTGGAGTCAACAAATATTCGATTAGCAGATACTCCCTTAGCGAGTGGAGGAAACATAATGAACAAGTTCTTGACCCTGAAGTCATAACAGAATCGAACATAGTCGACTATAACGCAAAAACTTCCATGATGCAGGCCTTCGGTAACATTGACAAACAACAAAACGAAAACACCAAACGACTAAAGCAAAAGGCTAGAGATATTTTTCGATGGAAAGTTGAAGTTGAGAGAGCATGCAAGGCAATCACTGAAGAAGTAGAGTTATTGGAAATAGAAAGACAACGATTGAAAGGTGCTTCTAGAGTATTAATGCTCCCGCAGTCTATATCCAAGGAATGTCTTGATCTTCGCTCAAATAGATTTGAATCCGATTTAGTTGCAGACTTAGCGGAACAGGAACTTATAGAAGAGGTGGAACTCGTAAACGAAGTCAGACAAACTCTTAAAAATACTTTAAGTGAAATAGAAGAACAAATGGCTGTAAATAAAGCTGCAAAACATAGGATCGAATACGACTGGTGCGACAAAACTATGGCCCATAATACAGAATCGATTAACTTGAGTTTAAATTCTAAATCTAACACTATTATGTTCAAACCGGGAGCTACGAGATTCGGTGACTACACAGCTCCCTTGGAGTATTGGGAATTCTTTTGTCGAGAAAACGTACAAAACTGCGAAGCCGCTAGACAAAAATCCGCTGACTTAAGGGGAAGTTTAAATGCAATTTTAGTGAATGGTGGCCGAAAATTAAGAAATCAAGCGGATAGAACTGATATGGCATTAGCAGAAACGGTTGCTATTACGCAAGAATTATGTACTAAACTTGAAGAAACGTTAAGAAACACTCTGCAAAGACTTGCCGATATAGAATGTCTGATTGATGATTTGAAGAACTCGATAAGAAAAATGGATGCTGCTATGAAATTGGCTCAGACAAGACTCGACAATAGAAATAATTGGCGTCCACACGGCGAAAGTGTGCGGGACCAGCCTCATCTAGGTTTGATGGAAGAAGTGAAGAAGATACATGAAACTGTAACATCTCTTTTAGGGCAATTGAGAAATGCCGAGAGAGTCAGGGAAGATTTAATGGCCAAAAGATTAGTTTTAGAAAAAGATATCGCCTCTAAAAGAAAATCCTTGAACATAGACAGGGACAGGTGTGGGATGATTCGATCTCACTATCCGTCTGCATCGGAATTAGCTGGATATTGATGAAATATGACATGTTTTGTATCATGTTATATTGAAAATCCGTATTGTTTCTAATTACGAATAGCAATTTGGATGGAAATTATTTAATCTTTATTTTATTACAAACGTTAATGTTAATGTATTAGTAAATTTTAGTGCCACTCTAATCCTAATAAAAGTCATTTGTTTCTGCAATTTGAAAGTTTTTATAGATTTTCCTGTCGGCGATTTGCCTCTTGAATATGTTGCGTGGACGTGGATAGACGTAAGCCTTTCACTCTTTTATTGTCTTATTTCTTGACTTCGTAACAGTGAAGTGACAAGTTAAAAGGTTTCATTCGAAGTTGAATTTATGTAGCTACATATTTCTTTTGTTACATCGATCAGCCACTAAAAGCACTCAAGACTTATCGAATGTAATAACGATAAGAATGTAGACCTTATGAAAAATTTGTGTATAGACTAGACTTACTTATTTATCTGGCAGTGGCGAAATACGAGTTGTGCTCTTTTTGCTTGCACTAATAAAAAAAAGATAGACTTTACTGAAAGTAATTTATTCCAAACTGATTTTATTGAATTATTAAGAACTATTAAACTATGCCTTTTTTCTATTGAGAAAATCTCACAAAATTATAACGATGAAACGCCTTATTAAAGTGTTTGTTACACATTTTAGATTTTTTTCTGAATAGGGATTTCATTTGAAAAATACAAGGTTAATTATAAAATATATATAATGCCAACTTTTTACTTCACTTGGGTAGTTACTTTTAATTAAAAAAAATATTTATTTACATTGCTCATAGACGATCTCCTGGAAGACCACCAAAAAGAGGTGTCTGGTGGTGAGCAACATATCTCCGGTTTGGTTTATCTGATATTACAATAACCATAAAATTCTATTTGGGACTGAATAAATCTAGGTATCGATCAATGGTATAGACAACATTTTTACTTTTGATTAAATGGTAGCTATGAAAAGAAAAAATTCCAACTATCGATCAAGTTGTTTTCATTACATTGTTTTTAAAAAAAGAAATGATTATCAAATATCTTATTTCTTCGATTAATCTCAGAAGAATATATCTGAGAAAGTTGTGTTAAAATTTCAGACCGATCGCCTGAGCCTTATTTGAGAGATTGTGCTCACGGACATTGAAAATACCGTTTTGAGAAAAACGCCTTCAAAGTTTCAAAAGACGTTTATACTTACATTGGTAGTTCCAAATATGGGTGTATCTCCAAGAATATTTACCAGATTAATTTGAAATTTTCAGAGACTGTACTCAAATATATAATTTATTTGAACTTTATAACTGCGTATAATCCCTTAATTTCATTCCTAAGTAAATTATGTACGTATATAGAGTAGAAATACTGGTCTTTTTACTTTTTCGGTGAGAATGTGTTCAATCGTATTATTAGTATTCAATCACCTTCCATAAAAAAAACCGCTAAAAATTATGTAGAAAAATTAAGGAAGCGTGCAGTCTGCTTTCGTCCCCCCGGAATAGAGGAACTTCATAATTAAATGTTAAGCACAAGCTGTGTAAAAACTAAGCCAAATGAACGTAGAAACAATAGCATCATTCGCAATGTCCCACGTGTTGAGTGCTGTTAGATCGACAACGCGCTAGGGGCTACAATGACCTTTGCGAACAATGTGGCTCCCATGCCATCGCTGTAAGATAGATTCGCTGTTGCTCAACTGCGTTGCTGCATTAAAAGGCCACACATTCATATTAATTTTATGAAGAGTTCTAATTCAATTCATAATTTACATTTGTCACTATATTTTTTCTACACCGGAATGTGTATACCATTTTCTGTTCTGTGGTCTATACTATCTCAAACGGTTAAGTCTAGTTTTAATTTTTCTCCAATCTTGTCGTGTTAGTTTTTAACAGTGCGGCGGCGACATCTATATGCCCCACATATATACAACGGATGGAGGAAATCATTACTCACCATCCTCAAGAGATGGCGTTACCTGAACTGCGATCATAATAGTATGGAAGCCTACATCGCGCAAATGAAATTCGGAGGCTAAGTAACTCCCATGTCAGATGCTGGATGGAAAAACAAAAATAAGTTTCGCCTAAGCAACCAATTTTACACTAACGGCTCAATTACACTTAGTCGTTATTCCGTATTCGGGTGCACGAAAGACATTATTTACTCTGGAATACGGGCTGAATGACAGTGTCGGGTAACTAAAAGAAAACTACCAGAATTCGGGCGTACTCGACTCCGTTCATTTACACTTAATCATCATCATCAGCCTATTAATGTCCGCACTGCTGGGGCACAGGCCTTCCCTATGCATGGAATAGGGAGATTGGGCCATGACCCACCATGCGGGCCCAGTGCGAATTGGTGGGTGTTGACCAACGGCTTAACGTGCCTCCCGAAGCACGGAGGAGCTCGAGATAGTAAATTTTTGGTCACCTATCCAATGACCGACCTCTGCGAAAGTTGCTTAACTTCAACGATTGCAGCCGAACACGATAGCCACCTGCGCCATCGAGCTCCTAACTACGACACTTAATCGATTACCCGAAATTGTATTCGGGCTAATGAAAAAGTGTAATTGAACCATGAGTGCCCCTGCTAATACAAGTAATCATTATCGCTGACGCTGCGCCCGTGGTCGAATATGCAGACATTATAAAACAACACCGAGAACGAACATGTTTCAATTATAAAATAATGCGAGAACATAAATCAAGCGTGAAATACGTATCATGATGTTATCATTATAATGAATCGTGAAAGTGGAACATAAATTATTTTTATTCATACTCTTTACTAAGTTAACGAGATCTGACAAAATACCTTGACCGTAAATGACAATTGATGTTTAGACATGTAAGTCAATAGTTGTAGAGTTTATATTTTTGAATTATTTCTTATTTTTTATATAATTTATAACTTTCTAAATTGCCGTCGAAATGGCATCGGAGCCAGATAAGACAACGTGTCCTGCTATTTGTCCAACTGCAGAAAAACCAGAACACGAACCCAAAGTTTATGCTCAAGCTGGAGAATCTAAAGGTTCAGAGAATCCTCACGCTTCTCCTTATGTACCAGGACGCATAAAACCACCTGGAAAGAAAATGTATCCTCCAGGAGCACCACCAAGGTATCTTCCTCAGCCAACAGATAGCACTAGTGGTGATATTCTTGGAATGGGCCCAATTGGACCATGGGCACCTGGACATGTGGATTGGACACCTCAAGCCGGCATGACAGGTGTAAGACCAGTCGTTGATAAATATTCAATCACAAGATATTCCACCGGGGAATGGAGAAAACACAATGAATTTATGCTCACACCTTTTGCAACAGATAAAGGTAAATCTTTAGAAATAAAAACTAAGAAAGATGTTGCAAATGCGTTTCAAGCAATGGAAAATAAAGAAACAGAGTCAAACAAACTATTGAAAAAGAGAATCAAAGACCTAACGCATTGGAAAAGAGAAGTCGAGAAAGCTATTGGTGCTATGACTAATGAACTTGAAGTTTTAGATGAAGAGAGAGCAAGGTTAAAAGGGGCTTCCAGAATTCTGAATTTACCAGAGGCGATATCGAGGGAATGTTTGGAGTTACGTACACATCGTTATGAACCCGATTTAGTAAGGGATGACGCCGAGCAAGAGTTGATCAAAGAGGTTGCAATTGTTGGGGAAATTCGACGAGTTTTTAATAAAATGTTGCAGCAAGTTCAAACACAGATGTCAATGAATATAGCTGCGAAATCGGCAATTGAAATGGATTGGAGCAATAAAATGATCAGTTTGAAATTAGATAAGATGAATCTAAGTATGACTCCACATTCTAATTTAATCTTGAAGCACCCTGGTGTTGCAAGGTGGCCAGAAAACGCTTCTACGTTAGATTATTGGGAACATTATTGTAAAGAAAGTATAAAACAATGTGAAGAAGTGAGACAGCGATCTGAGGCCTTGAGAGAAAATATACTAATTACAATCACTAATGGAGGACGAGACATGAAGTTACAAGCTGAAAGAACGAACGTGGCTTTAGCAGAAACTGTGGCTGCCACTGAACAATTGTGCGAGAAACTAGAAGAAAATTTGAAGGATAATTTACAAACTATAGCGAACGTTGAAAATTTGATTGATGAACTCAAAGAAAAGCTTAGGGAAAGTAACGAGAAGGCTAAATTGGTAATGACTAGACTTCACGCTAGAAATTATGGTCGTCTTGGTGTAGAAAATTGTAGGGATGATGCGCAGTACAGTTTGATAGCCGAAGCAAAATTTATAAAAGAAACTTGCGAAAGCTTGAAAGATAAAACGAGAGAAGCAGAGGCTGTTAGATCGGAACTCATGAAGTACAGAGGAGAACTAGAGAAAGAAATAGCTTGCAAGCGGAAAAGTCTGAATATAGACAAGGACAGGTGCGCAAGAGTGCGGGCTCATATGCCGAAGTCAGAAGAGTTTGCAGCTGGATAAAATCAATAAAAAAACAATGTTTAAAAAGATGTATTAACTTCTTTATAGCGTATAGCGTCATTTTAATAGTTCCTTTAATTGACTAGAATAATATTAGTTTTCGAACAACTCAGAAACATTATTTAGCCCAACACTAAGTAGAGCTTAAACTATGGAAATCAAAAAGTAAAAATATGAATACAGCTGCGCAAAAAGACAATAGACATACTGATATATATTCTGTGTAAAAAGTCATTATTGAATTTTATTTTTTTACGGCGGTGTATTACTGTACTCAATACTCATGTCCTCTATGTCCCTTATGCTGACAAAGTAGGGCATTTGAATGTTTGGTTAATTTCTGACCGCGGTTTTCCTTGGACGTATTTTGGCCCCTCCTTGATTTATTCCTATTCCTAAAAATGGGATTAACCTTTCTGAATTAAATTTTGTGTTTAAACTAAATTAAAAAGCGGACGCATTCTGATTTATGATTGAGCCATATGGAAGTTACTTTGTCCTTAAGCAACATTTAGTGGTGACACGAACAAAACATTCTCATAGCGCCAAGAAGAAAAGACGAAAGTATTTATAAAAATAAAATAAAAGATGGCCCATCGTCGATTCAACGTTACTGCCGATTGACTTTTTCTATTCTTAATTGCTTTTTGGCCAAAAGCAACCGATTTACAATGCCACTCGCATTTCCCAGATCTGGTCCCTTGTGAGTTTTCCTATTCCCAAAACTGTAAATACATGGTACTCTTTGACGAAGGCGATAAAGATAGCATCGAAGGAGGAGCTGAACAAGATCACAAAGAAGTATTTTTTTAGTAGGTTGGTACTTCAGGGATTAGATAAAATGTTTGCTTAAGTATTATATCCGAAGGAAATAACTTTGACCAAATATATATTCATAAAGAAATATTATAATTTTGAAAAAACACATTTTTTGAACAAGCCTCGTACTTACTGGGGAACGGTTATACAATTAATCTAGACAGTATGAACTTCCTACAATATTCTTCCTTTCAGTGTATCAAAAAACTACAATTTTATCAAATAGCTTAGATCTTAAGGACTCAGAATTTGAATATGAAGTAAGCTACCTCAAAATAGTTTGTAAGGACTAATACTATAAACACCATCCATGTTAACACCTTTAAATGTTCAGTAAAAAGACAGCCCCTTTTTCTTTGTTAAAAATCTAGAATGGAATGAACCCAGCGACAAAATATTTAATTTCACGTAGACTTTGTGGTCAAGTCGTTAAGTGGAACAATTTGATTTGATACAAAAAAGTTAGGTAGTTGTTAAAGCTTTAGAAAGGAGGTATTATTATTTATGAAATGAACAAGAAGTTTCGGTGCTTTTGAAGCATTAGTTTTTTTCTTGAGGCGTTATTCAACTGGGTGTTATATAAATATACATAGTTCGTTTGTTGTATCTCACGATACTTATTCCGAATTGTTATAGCGTTATATATTATCAACATCAGCATTGTCTGGCTAGTTTACAATATATTCCGCTTTTAGGTCAATGCGATCAGCGTTGGTGAGAAAATTATGTAAATGCTACAATGATTACAGCTCTGTGGGCGGTATCAAAAAAATTGGAGAGCTGGAGTAGTGTTGCCAGGTCCGATTTGTTTTAAATCGGTACATGAGGTCAAAAAACCGGGACTTAGGGTTGTTGATCGGGACAGTAAACAAAAAACGGTTTTTAAGTCTGGGTTTAATTTATTGCATTTTAAATTACTAGTGCAAGTATAGTATTATATTAATTACCTAAATTTAACTTTTTGATTAATCGGGACATTTAGCGTCCCGATCAGGTACAAATCGGGACGCGTCCCCAGACCCCTGAAAATCGGGACACCTGGCAACACTACCTGTAGGCCACGTTGTTTGGGTTAAATTTGATTATTTAAAATACTAGAGAAAAAATGAACGCAGCCTTAGTGTAATTCTGGACTGGGTATGAAAAAAAAGATTATTCAATATTATTGTAATCACCACATGCTAATTTCTAACAAGAGGGATGATGACTAATTTTATTTTCATCCCACCACCTCGGAAAGTGTAATTTTGCGCTTCGAAATCTGGCTGGAAAATTCTATTTTATTCGCTTGAGCGGCAAAGTAGATTTGAATTTAGAACATCACATATAATGAGTACTCAATATAATTGTAAATTCAAAACGTCATTAAACCTATTTAATGTAACCTCTATGGTGCCAAATTTATGATTAGAACTTTTTAAATTGTGAAAAAATTTAAATTTGGAACCTTCTTGGTTTCTTTGTTTTATTTGCGTGCTTCGCGCCATTCTAGTTTTTCACGTTTTATTGCTTAATATAATTAACATAACCTAAAAACTGTACAAAAAAATCAACTAAAATGAGTGACATTAGCGACGATGAAGTTTATCTAACGCCAACTGAGTTAACTGAAACAGTTAATAATGCGCAAATGAGCCTTCTCCCTCAGCAATCACGAGAGAAGTATTTGAAACAGTACGATATATTTAACATGTGGCGACTAGCTAAAGGAGCAAAAACTTTCTCCGAAAACGTTTTGCTGGCATATTTTATAGAATTATCTGAGACCAAGAAAGCAAGCACGCTATGGAGTACGTATTCAATGCTAAAATTAACAATTAAGATGAAGAAAGACGTTCATATCGACACCTATCATAAATTAGTGGCATTTTTAAAAAGAGCCTCATCTGGTTATAAACCAAAAAAATCGAAGGTTTTCACAGCATCTGAAATTGCAAAGTTTATTAATGAAGCACCTGATTCCGTATATTTAGCGGCAAAAGTAAGTCAATACGTGTAATTTTTTGTTGTTGATAAAATTGTACATAGTACTTACAATATTTTTAATTTGATTAATTTATTTACGATTATAAATACTTCTTTTGTTACAGGTTGTTCTTATTATTGGTATAACCGGAGCATGTCGAACAAATGAACTTACACTACTTAATGTCAATAACGTATCAAAATATTCTCATAATTCTGATGAATTGCTATTAATTAATGTACTAAATACCAAGACAAAAAAAGACCGCAACTTCGTTATTCGCAAGGAATATGTAAACATTGTTCCGAAATATCAAGCTTTACGTCCTTCTAACACCCCAATTGAACGATTTTTTCTACAATATCGCAACGGAAAGTGTATCCGACAACCTATGGGTCAGAATAAAATTGGCAGTATTCCACGAGAAATAGCAACTTTTCTCGGACTTTTAGAACCCCCGTTATACACCGGTCACTGTTTTAGAAGAACCTCAGCCACACTTTTGGCCGAATCAGGGGCTGATCTTCTATCGCTTAAGCGCCATGGAGGCTGGAAGTCTAATTCGGTTGTAGAGGGATACATAGAGGATTCAATCCAAAGTAAATCAAAAATTTGTAATAGTATCGTGGAGGCCATAACGCTGAAAGAACCTCTGCCAGATTCTTGGTCTCGCCCTTCTACATCTAAAATGAGCCCCCATAAGATTGGAAACAATAGCCCTCTCTCGCCAACATTTACGCCAATAGAATCCAATGAATCGGCACAACTATTTAAAATTACTGATACGAGTAGTTTACCACAAAACAGCGCACAATTCACAAACACCAACATAACATTACCTAACAAAAATATTAAACTTAACATAAGTAACTGTAGCAACGTTACATTTAATATTTCTTAATTATTTTCTACTTCTTATTATTTTCTTCAATTTATAGATTATCTTAATGTGTTTTAATTGAAATAAAAATATTTTGTCATTATAAATTGTTTTCTTTTTCATTTTGTCATTTCCTCGCTGAGGTGGGATGAAAAGTTACGTATTGCACTCGAGTGGAAAGATTTTTCACCTTGTGCTCGTTTGTTTCCCTCGCTGACGCTCAGGATTCTAATTTAGAATCACTCGCTGCGCTCGTGATTCAACTTTAGAATCCTTCGCTTGCTCGGTCATCCAAATCGAGCACGCGGTTAAAAAGGAACTTTCCACTCTTGTATAATAAATAACTATTTCTTCGTTTATCAGGTAGATTATCAAAAAGTAGTGGACACGTATTTTTTCTTTTTCACATAATATAAACATTGCAGAGATATATTGATTTGAAAAGTCGCATGACGTCATGTTTGAGTACACTTATAAGAGAAAATTCACTCAAAAGTGACGTCACGAGCCCCTACTCCAAACTTTGACGCGCTATAACTTTGTCATTTTTTTGTTGATTGCCCAAAGAAAAAATACGTGTCCATTATTTTTTGATCATCTAACTGACGGACTAAATAGAATTTCGTTTACTGTACCCCGTCATCACCCCTATTCTTTGTTCATGTTTAAAATTCCTATTTCCCTTGGTCAAGCCTATAAGTAATATGAATGCTTTAGAAATTGCCTACATTAATTTTGAAGTGAAAACTTCTTTAGCGGCGTTGTACACTTTTTTTGTATGGGTAAAAAATGTTAAACTCGCGTCAGGTTAAACACGTGGGCTGATCGCATCATGACACAATAAAATTGGAAAGGTTGTTGACTTTCAATATATTGGACGAAACATAGTATTTTTTATTTTACCGAATTATAATAATAAGTCTCTATCTAGGACGTCCACGTGGCAGCTTCATTGCGAAGAAAATGCATTTTATTTACAATAGATGTCGCTAGGTGCGCTTTAATGTGATTCATGTAAGTTGATTTCTTTACAATAGATGTCGCTAAGTGCGCTTAAACGTGATGAACGTAAGTTGATTTTTCTGAGAGATAAACTTTTTTAATGTAATATAAATTGTCATGTTTGTGTATAATAGCGCAATAAATTAATATTGTATTCTACCACATACATGATAGTACTTTTATACTGATAATTAAAGCAATTCGTGCAAAATTATTCCCTTACCATTCCAAAATATCAAAAATGCACAACGTTAATATTCAAGTTTTCACTACTGCCGACACGCCCAGAGTGCAACCCGTTGTTTTTTTTTTAAATACTTTTCCTTTGTATCCTAGGAAAAACATAATTATGAAAGTTGCGCGAATATTGATAGTTTACTGGAACGACGAAGTCGCAGGCGGAAACTAGCTCATAATACGAAGTCACTTAACGCATTCTTCTATTGGCTTTACGCATTTTTAACGTGAGCTTAAAATAAAACAACTTTCTTTGTTTATAGTTAAACTTAAGTCATAAAGTAGCGAACAAAATACATCTATCTCTGCATTGTATAAGAACAATGAAATTTTCATTTTTCTATTGTTCTTCCGCTCATTGTGAAAAGTTATTATGTAGTTTACGTAAATTACTAAAACTTCGAAAGTCACTCTTTATTTTCTATTTAATTACTTTTTAATCATAAAATACACTTTATTAGCAGCCAATAAATGTGAGGCGGTTGAATAGCTGCTTCCTTATGCTTAGTAAACGGACTCGAGATTAATTTATACGGACTATAC